GCTGTACCCTGGCAGAGCAAAAGATGCAGAGGACTTCTTTGTGTACCAGCTACTTTGCATGACTGGAAGGATGGAAGGATGATACTGTATACTATTGACAATATCCCATACATTGCGAGCTAACAGCCATTTCTTCACAATAGCCACTGTTGTCCACTCTATGACATGTATGATTCTCCTGCTTCAGACATTCATTTCCATGATTGGATCATATGACCTGAGTTGATTTGACTGAGATACAGCCAAAGAGGGATTACATCAATCCACACATCTAACCATGCTCTATGTTGCTCAACTGAAGTAACTCTGCATGAGCCAGCTCAGCCAAATCAACTCGGATCAACATAATCCAATCATGGAAATGATTGTCTGAAGCAGGAGCACCGTTCCACTGTCATAGAATGGGCAACATTGCCGATTGTGAAGAAATGGCTGTTAGCTCGCAATGTATGGGATATTGTCAATAGTATACAGTATCATCCTTCCATCCTTCCAGTCATGCAAAGTAGCTGAGTTACACAAAGAGGTCCCTCTGCATCTTTTGCTCTGCCAGGGTCCACCTACTTGACAATGAACAAAGACCACTCTTCATATAGCATCACGCTTACAAACATAAAGGTACCTGTATCTCCGAACTTTACAATCAAACGTGGGGTTTTTATTAGAGCAATGCGCTCGACTTGGCCAACAGCACCTTGTGTGAAAGTTTCACGATCAAGCTTGCCAATCCCAGATTTCGCAATGTCGCCACCAGCCAAACTGGATCCAGGGGTCGACCTCTTCGACGACGACGACCAAAAAAATATTTTTTGGGCTAGTTGCGACATTGAACGTGAAACTTTCACACAAGGTGCTGTTGGCCAAGCCGAGCACATTGCTCTAATAAAAACCCCACGTTTCATTGTAAAGTTTGGAGATACATGCACCTTTATGTTTGTAAGGGTGATGCTATATGAGAAGTGGTCTTTGTTCATTGTGAAGTATTTATATGGAGGTTGTTAGCCTCGTTTTATTGGGAGTGCATCGGAGAGTGGCACCCCAAAATCGAAACAATATTGGTCAAATTGATAATCATAAGGAGATATACATGAGAGGGAACGAGATGACAAAGGGTGGGAGCGAGCTAATTGGAATCATTAAGTCTCATGGAAGAGACACTCCCCGACGAATTGGAAGGAGTGGCAGAAGACGGAAAAAGTTTACCCCGACTTTTAAGCTTAAAATAAAGGGTGGTAAAACTTGATAAAGGCAAAGATCGAATCATTTCCTTGGCTTCATCAGACATGGGAAAAGTCGTCAACATACGATCGATGGACTCGGGCGGTGTTGGTGCCTTAGATGTTTTGGCTGATGGTTTTTCAGGGGAAGATTCTGTAATATGAGTACTGATAATCATATCGTTGTGGGCTTCAAGGGGTGAGTAATCAGTGCTAAGCATCGATACATCAGAATGGCTGGCGGCAGTGGAAACAGAAGACGATGGGGACATTGGTGGGTCATTGATGGGCTTGACAACAATAGGGCGACGATTGGGACATTTAGCGGCACGGTGGCCATTTTGGCCGCAAGACCAACAGGGGCGATATCTGCTTGGGTGGGTAGGACATGAGGACATAGAATGACCGGATTTGTGGCAATGAAGGCAATGAAGCGGCATTTCAGCCCATGTTGCATAAAACCAGTCTTCGGAGTTAGGCCATGAAATCGTGTGTGTGAGCGATGATGATTGTTTTGAACCTGAAACGTTTAATGTTGTATATCCGTGTCCCATGAACAACTTAGAGTCATGATCACGGAGAATACCATAATCAAGAACATCACCAAAGGGTGAGAGAGCCTTATAAATTCCATCGGTAAGCTTATCTCGAGAGGTGAAAGGAAGGTTGCTGAGTCGAAGATGAATGAGACGGGAATCAGATGGTAAAGGTACACTAGGCAAGATACGCACACCATCCTTGAAAACAAGGCCTGACGTACAAGCTTTCTGGTAAACGTTGGAGTCATCGATGAATAATTCAACAATACGGCGAGCATGATCCGAGTGAAGGCGAACACCACAATTGTTGGGAAAGCTTTCGTTTATATGGCACAAAAGCTGGGAGCGATTTTCGGAACGAGACGTGAAATCAAAGAACAAGCTGGTACAGGAAGCAGGAGAGCCACCGGCTTTCCACACATTCGAGTGCAAAGAATTGTCATGAGCTGTTGTTTTCAACGAATCCCGCGTTGGGGAATGAGTACGTGCTGAGGAATGAGTGCTGGTAACCTTGGCATACGAAAGCCGTTGTGGACGATATTGTGTGCCTGTTTCCTTATCAGGCGATTTGGTTAAATTCTGGGAAGACATGTTCATTGTGAAGTAGCTAGACCCTGACAGAGCAAAAGATGCAGAGGGTCGTGTTGTGTAACACAGTTACGTTTGCATGAATGGAAGGGTCAATGTATGATACTTTATGCATCATTTAGTAATACTTAAACATTGCAAGTTAACAAGCACTTCTTAACCGATCACCTTTGTTACCTAATCCAATGCATACGAACGATTCCTCTACTCCGGCCCATCATTTCCATCATTCAACTTTCTTGATCCGAGGGGATTTGACTGAAAAACGGTCAAACACAGAAGTATCATCCAAAAGTACAAAGATCATTGTGATTAGTTATTTGTAAACTGCTGGTTGATAGCCCATTCCTCCCATTCAGCTCTTTTACCCAACCCAATGCATACGAACGATTGTCCTGATCCAGCCCATCATGTCCATCATTCAACTTTCTTGATCCGAGAGGATTTGGTTGAGTTACGCTCAAACACAAAACATCATCCAATTTCACAAAAATCATTTTGCAAAGTTATTTGTAAACCGCCAGCTAGCAGCCCATCCCTCCCATTCACCATTGTTGCCCAATCCATTGCATATGAACGATTGTCCTGCTCTAGCCCAGCATTGTCATCCTTCAACTTCCTTGATACGAGAGGATTTGATTGAGCAACGTTCAAACAAAGAAATGTCATTAAATTTCCACTTCTTCCGCTCGTGGCTTCTTGCCTCTTCCTCCCATTCTCATCTGCTTGCCCAATCAAGTACAACCACCACCATGCGAACGATTGTCCTGCTTCAATCCACCATGCCAACCCTACGATTGTCTTGATCCGAACGTCTTTGAGTGGATGGCAAGTTCATGACGTGTACACAACCTTCTTGTCACTCTTCTACAACACGAATCTCTTGACGCAGCACACGCTCTTGCACGCTCCCCTGCCACGATCAAACGTAACAGCATCCATTGCAGCAGTTACTACGATCAAAGTCTTTACTCCATTGCCTCAAACAACATTCACGGCTCTTGTCATTCTAGTGCAACACACGCCTCTTGCCTTAACAGCCTTTTTCACGTGGACAGCAGATAGCCATTGTATAGAAGCAGCTTTATTTATGTGTATCAACTTGCTTTAATACAAACGAATTCTACATATGGATATAGATCTGAATATTGGTTTGTGTATGGGAGGGAAGGAATTGGATACATACAATGGGTGAGAAAAGGGTGTATGCGTTGACAGCTTGACCTTGATACTATGCATCCTGAATGATCGATGCATGCCACCTGCCTACCATGTACTATCATAATCATCCACATCATGCCAATGATTCGCCACGACGGATGCATGAATTGCCATCACACTCCACTCATCCATCTTTGCACAATGCACGTCCAAAGGATAGGACATCCCCATATCGATGTATCGGCTTTAGTGGAGAAGTTCGTTGTAGCTCTCAATCTCGTGCCCATTTTATCTCTTATTGTGAATGATGATTGGAGTAAAGGGTTGTTTTAGGATAAGAACGAATGCTTTGGTTATTTGATCGGTTTCAATCATTTGTAGCACATCCTCATGTAGCATTGGCTTGATGTGTGTTGAGCTAAATGTTGCTTTAAATAAGGCAGCTAAGATAGGAGGGAATGGAACAAGAACAACAACAAATGGCACCAGTGCTTGTACCCAATCCACCTCGCGCAGCAGTACACAAGCTTCATTGATGGCGATTCCTTCCAAGATCTATTGATGGTAGCGGCGTACATAGGACTGTATGGGATTGTTCTTTGTTCAACTTGTCACAAAGACGCACAACCACCTTTATTCATTGTTATCCATGATCCATTTCCATATCTACAACATGATCCGCTGTATCATTCTGCTTGTACTACTTTCGATATCATTCCCTTGATGAAATTCGTTAATGTGGGTGCACAACAACTAATCCTGAGGCCAATGACACCAGGTACACGTGACCATGTTAACAAAGTACTTTTCCTATCTTGCACAAGTGAGTCGGGATTGTCTCAATATCAATCTATATATATGCCATGTGTCAGTGGATCGTTCTCATACACCGATTGACTAGAACTTTATCGCGTGGCACCAGTCGTGTAACAATGAAATGGTATAAGTGTCTTTAGATCTTTCAAACAAATTATGGGGGATCATAAAATGGCCAAGTTGTTCATTGGCTAAGACTAACCCGAGGGGCAATTGTTACAAAAGTGTGTGGTCCAATAGCATTTTGTTTTGCAAAAGACGAAAAAGATTTCTTGTGTTGGATCACAACAAGGAAGATACAGGGACATGGAAATGCCAAGAAGTATATAGATCAACCCCAGCGATGTGTTATTATTGTTGTATGTGTGCTGTGTGAAACACCGAGGAAGGAGTGAGCGATCCCGGTTATACTTTTGCTCATTCAGCTATGTCACTCACTCACTCACTGCACTCACTTTCTGCTGGTTGGGAACCGCTTGTGGGCTTGCTCATCCAATAAGCGCATTATGATTGGCTGCAGTCTCAATCGCCCCATTCATCGTTCCCCCAAAAAGCATACCCGACCTACACACTCACACACCAGCTACTCCTCTCCCTCTCTCTCTCTATTTCTTTCTCTCTCTCTCTTTTTTCTCCCCTTGCGAGTCGCTCTTTCACATCGTATACCGATTGGGCCCTTATGTTTGCAACTTTGGAGCTGCCGTTGAGAGGTGAATTGTCCCCCCCTTTTATAACATTGCAGCAACTCGAAACTGATCATCTTTTCGGAACGGGGTTCTATCAGACGACAGCAGACACAAGCGTCTCAAGGTTGGCAGGGCTTGTCATCCTTGTCGAATGAAAAAGATCAAGGTACGGCATTGTCCTATTCTAAAGACTCAAGGTACTAATCTCCTTTATTGTAGTGCGATGGCAAGCAACCGTGTATGCAGGTAAAAACGCTCGTGTTACACTATGGGCACAATGCAACATCAAGCTAATTGTTTTCTTTACTCTTCTTGTCGTTTGGCTATTCATCATCAGTGTAAAGGTAAAGTATCGGGGTGGGTAATGGATGGCATTACCATGAATATGGAAGATGGGACTAACAGGTGTTTAATTCATTAGCTCGTCGACGTAAATGCATGTACTTGAAGAACACGGATGAAACGTATATAAAGCTTGACCCGGTTGCGGATGCTTCATTCTTGCAAGACATTGCCGAGCAAACTCAAGAGCAACATCAACGCTATCAACGACAGCAGACACCTGACGACTATTCCCAGGCATCTACACCACAAAGTAATGGATCAACGCAACAAGCTATTTACATTGCTGATAAAGGGGATGCACTGTTTTCGGGGACACAAAAGAATGATCACATACAACATCCAGCAACTCGACCCGATCGAATGATTGAACAACTGGCAGATGGACTTGTGCGATTGACGTTACATAATGAACCTTACAAGTTGGCTGACGACAATGTTACACCCTGGCGTAGCTATGGAGACTTTGTACGATGGACACCCGAACCAGGATTGCCGAGTTACTATACGGCACCTATTGACATGCCAGCACGTCAAATCCAAGAGAACCTTATCAATGTATTCTTTGCTCATTGTCATCATACGTTACCGACATTATCACGCAGCATGTTTTTTGAACAATTGAATGCCAAAGGCCCGCTTGTTACACCATTACTGCTCAATGTCATGTACGCCCATGCAGCTAAGCACGTCGATGATCCATCATTTCTTTCACATCCCGACAATGCATCTACGCAAGGCAACGTTTTTTATGTCCGAGCACGACGATTGATTGACGACTTTTTGGATACACCACGTGTGAGCACCGTCATTGCATTATTGTACATGGCAGCTTATGAGTACAATGCAACTGGAAGTGAAACAGGGGCACGATCGAGTCGAGCTTGGATGTATAGTGGAATGGCCGTACGCATGTGTCTGGAATTGGGATTGCACACAGCCAACTATAGCAGTCAAATGTCACAATTCGATATCGAGCTTCGGCGACGTGTGTTATGGACGTGTTATGTGATGGATAAACTGGAAAGTTGCATGACGGAGCGACCTTGGATGTTACGGGCAAAGGACATTTCACTCGATTTCCCGACGCCGTTACCTGAAGATACAACCGATGAGCGTATTGTGCTTGATGGATTCAGTCAATTGTGCCGATTAATGATCCTGATTGAAAAGGTGCTCCATACATTTGCATATGACACGCGTAACAAGGGAGTTTGGACAATGCATGAGGAATCTCAGACCCTGCAACTACTGGAACAAGTATCTCAATGGCGTGATAATCTCCCAAGCTCATTACGTTGGTCACCAACAAGTCCTGGTACAGCTGCTGCTGCAAATGGTAATGGTGGGACCCATCATCACTTTATACCATCACCCATCCCATCCTCGCACGTGGTAGCCAATCTCCATCTTGTGTGTTGTTGCTTGGAGTTATCATTGGTGATGTGTTGTCGATATCAGGAGGAGCAATTGCATCGAGAACGTCGTCGTGGACTTGCCAACGCTATTACACAACTGGTATCATTGACTGTGGAACATCCACGCCTTATGTATACAAGCACCGTATCAGCCTTTGCAGCCATCTTTGCATCCCTCACGCATGTGGCCGACTTTGACCATCCTTTGTTGGCCGATGATGCACGCATGCAATTCCGAAAGAGTCTCGAAGATGTACGCACTATTTTACAACGTGTCCCATTACGTGATATGCGTAATCTTACTCGCTTGGTTGATCTCACGCATGCTATCTTGGGCACCAATGGCACCAGCACATCCAATGCAACCTACACAAGTGCATTTTCAGCCATCACCGATTTGTGTCAGGAACAACCAGATCCCAACATGTTATTCTCTACAGCCACTAACACCACCACCACCGCTACAACTACTTCTACTACTACAAGCACTACTACAGCCGCCACAAGTCCAGCATCTCTATTTTCTCCATCGATGGCTTATAGTACGGCGATGGCACCACCTTCTGCCACAGCATTTACTTTTGATCCAACAACATGCTTGCCTTCTACACCTTCCACATCTGCAGCAGCTGCAGCAGCAGTAGCAGCGGCAGCAGCAGCCACTTCAGCCCCATCTAATACAGCAGCTGCCAAAGCAGCAGCAGCAGCAGCCGTGGGTGCAGTGGGTCCACCAACCTCGGGTCCTCCAAAGAATATTGAGCCGGCTGATTACACGTTTCAACTCATCTCAGTGGCAGACGAATGGGCTCGTGCTCTTATGTATCATCAGTGAGTTAATATTAGATCCATTTCCTCCACATAGTTTGTTCCATAGATATATCCCCCCTTGCATCGAAAGTCATGTACATAGTTTACATCTTACTCTCTCTTCCTCTCTCTCTCTTTTCTACGTCCTTTTCCTTTTCCGCTTTCATAATCCAATTCCATCAATAATGCATACAATCATGCACTTCCACCACCACCACCATTCCTATCATTGTTTCTTTTGATCGAACAAACAATTAGACTGCTGCTAGTGTAACTTGTTCATGGCTGAAGGATCATGTTGTACGATATACGTATAATTGGATAACACCACCATTGGGAATAATAGCATACCTTGTGAAGGAATTTGAACATGGATCATGCGTTTCAATCGATCTCGGTATGCATAGCTATCGACAAAAGTAGTAGTATGCATTGTACGCTCAATGATAAAATGACATCAAACAAACGCCAGCTACTTCGTGTAACCGTCAACTATCATCTGGGATAGTATTCTGCCGCTGTGCGCGGCTCTACAGATCATCTTAAGCCGAGGTGATGAACGATATTGTGGAAAACAATTCCATTCCAGGCACAGTTAATCCCACGCGACCTTCATTTCACCCGCTTCTTTTTCACTTAAATACGCTGGTGGATACCGAAGAAATCCATACAAACATTTGCACTTTGGCTTTCTTCAAATCATGCCTATTGTGTCCACACTTGCTCAACGAGCCAATACATGGCTGTTGCCAGGACTTGAAAGGATCATTCATGTTTACTCTACAGTCATTATGCCCCATCTACGTCAACGAAAAGCATTCGTTGTCCCCCTTGTTGCCATGGCGACCGTAACACTCGCTCTTTATCGTTTCTATCGAAAGATTAGCCGACCTCCCGCCTCCCTCAGTCACTTGCCCTATTGTGATTTTTGGACCACCATCAAGTATTACATGACCAATGGCCTTGTACAAGATTATTCACGCCAAGTCATCCTTCCAACACTGGCAGCAGGTTCTGGTGTCTTTGCAGTAAGGATGATGTTGACATGTTGAAAAACAAGAAAGCTCACGTGGTAATGATGTAGCGATTTAGCCCTGAGGGTTGGATTGTTGATATTGCTGATCCAATAGCAGCAAAACAAATGCTTCTAAAGACTGGTAATGTGAATCACTCTTCATGTACATTAGATACTAGTACTTGCTCTAACCATGTTTGCGCGCAGATAACTTTCCGAAATCGGAGACAACCATGGGTGTTCAAGGCACCTTGATTGAACGCTATGTGGGTGGGCCTAATATTGTATTCCTTAATGGCCATGATTGGAAGCGTCATCGCAAGGTAATTCATGCATGCACGAACATTTTAAACTTGCATACGTTATTAAACATCCTCCAATGGCGTTAGATTGCCAATCCAGCATTCCATCGTGCATTCCCAGTGAAGCTCTTTGGCACTTTGGCACAAAACATGTTCAAGGCTGTCGATGATGATAGCAATGGCAAGATCAATGTTCTCGATATCTTTACGAGATTAACATTGGATGCCATTGGCACTGCCGGTTTTGGTATGTGATTGCCTATATATGCATGCTTCGATACTTACCTTTTCTCTTCCTCCAAAAGGTTTCAACTTTAATGCTTTGGAGGATAAGGACAACAAGTGGGTTTCCGGGTATAATAGCATTAGAGAGGGCATGGTCAAGCCTCTCTATATCCTAATGCCCATCTTCGATACCAAGTTTGTGCATCTCATCCCCGACCGACAAAAGGCACACGACAACCTCACTGATTTTCTCAACATGCTGGATACCATTATCAATGACAAGCGGGAGCAAATTGCTGCCAAAAAAGCTGCCGATATTGAAGACCATGAAAAGGACTTGCTCACGCTCATGATTGAAAGCGAAATGAATCCGGAATCGGAGGGTGCTGTCATGTCCAATGAAGAACTCAAGGTTTGCATAAATCGTTGTTTTCCCCCGGCATTGTATTCTTCATTCATAGTTACACATACATTGCACAGAGCAATTTGTGCATCTTTTTCTTAGCCGGTCATGATACCACCGCATTTGCATTATCATGCGCTATATACGAACTTGCAAAGAACCAGGTAAGCTCATACATAGCTTGGTATAAAAAGTAGTATTGCTGATGGCAGCACATTAGGACGTTCAAGAAAAGGCACGACAAGAAGTCATTCGCATTTTGGGCGATGAGTCATGCGATGTATTGCCCACGGTCGAACAAACAAAGCAAATGACCTATCTAAACACCATCATCAAAGAGGTACTACCACCACCATTATTATTGCCATGATGATGATGATGAGCCCTTTATTGACTTGAGATGTATCATAGACACTAAGATTGCATAATCCTCTATTAACAATGACGACTCGTACCACTGTGGAAGACTGCGAATTGGGTGGTGTCTTCATCCCAAAGGACACCAAGATTGATGTTGACATTTACAATCTTCATCGAAGTCCACGTGTGTGGAGTAATCCCGATGAATTCATTCCTGATCGATATGCACCTGGAGGTGAAGCCGAACGTCAACCTGGCTCAGGGTTAGCTTGGGTGCCTTTCAGGTACGTATATAGGACCTTGAAACAGAACACGCATTGACGTATTAACGCATCGTCCTGCACCCTTACTTAGTAATGGTGGACGTCAGTGTATCGGTATGAATTTTTCCCTCGCACAACAACGTGTTGTTTTGGCTATGCTACGTAAGTTGGGTCATGGATCATTGTATGTAGTGAATCAAGACCACTGACTTGGGACCTTTCTAGTACGTAAATATACATTTGAGCTACCAAAAGATACCATCCACAAGAACGATATCCAGAAACGAGGCATCATTTTCGGCATGATCACTATTGAAAACCTGGATATTGTTTTCAATCGTCGTTATTAGTTCTTTTAGCTATCTCTATTATGTATTATTTGATAACAATGGAATCATTTATATAGCGCCGATGAATCATACCAAATGCATAATTAGCACGGGCGATCGAAATTGGGTGGTTGCTGGGGTAAAGGGGACAGTGCAACGTGACATGATGAAAAAGGAAACGTCGACGTGGCATCAACTTTTTTGGGGCGCGAAAAGGAGAAACACAGACCACCACGTTCTTCGCCAAGTTGTCTTGTGACGTCCTTTTGCCGATTATTAACCCACTTTTATTCCATCTGAGTATTCCGTGCATTGATTTATTGGTGGTACTCAAGTCCACTTTTTCCCTCTCCTCATCTTTTCCGCTTGCGATTTTCCATGGATTTGAACGATTGGCTTCTTGATACAGAATCATCTTTTCTGCACGATAATGAACAACAACCCTCGAACACAGGCCATGAAGCTAATCTTACAACAACACCAACAACAGCACCCACCCTTGATATAAACGCGTTGTTGGGTGAGCTTGCTACAGCCAACGACTGGCAAGTGGGTAGCAACCTACCACTTTCATCGTTGCCCTCTTCAAGTGCAAGCACTTCAGGACAAAGCAATACCACTGGTAGCAGTCCTTCTTCTCGAGATCGTGGCGTATCACCATCTACACCCGGCAAGGATGACGATGATGATGAAACACAAAACAACAGCAACTCCAGCAGCAGCAAGCAACAACAACTTGCTAAAATGACAGGACGACTTGATTTTAGATCGAGCATTGTATCAGGAGCAGCAACGGAAGTACCTGAAGCACAATGGCGAAACATGTCATCCAAAGACCGTCGTAAACTACGAAACAAAATCTCAGCTCGTAACTCACGCCAAAAAGCAAAAGGTGTGTGTTGTGTGTTTATTGTATAGTGTATGTCAACATGTATCTAACCATGAATGTATGATGAAAGGCTACATTACATCGCTTGAGCAAGAGGTGGAACAGCTCAAAGCCGACAAAGGTGAAATGGCTGTCGAGTTGAAGCGAGTACAAGAATTAGTGACTCAGCTGCTGCAAGAAAATGAGCAACTGAAACAATTGCACCAGCAAATCATGGCAAGCAGCACCAGCCCACCAACCGATTTGTTTGCACCCAACGCATTTGATGAGCTATCCATGCCTTTGATGACTACCTGGTTATCACATACAAGCATGCCACGATGGGATTTACCTCGTCTCATGTCACTTTCCAAAGATACCGATCCAAACGCCCAACAATATGCAGCTTGGCTCTTTCAACGCTATCCATTACTCGCTCCTGCTCTCATGTCGATGGTTATTGATCAAACCATGACGCCTGCAGAATTACTCATATCCACTCTTGACAATGTTATCCAGCAAAAGGAAGCCGATCTGGATCATAAATCAGCTCCCACCAAAACCATCAAGGATGAGAAGAAGGATGAAGAAGACGAAGAAGAAGAAAAAGTCAAATCGAAAAAGACAAAGAAAAGGTGTGAATACAGATGCCGTAAACGAGAAAAGGAACGCAATAGCATCGAGGATGGTGATGGTTGCGATGATGGATCAAGGCGACGCAAGAACATCTTTTGTACCGTATTTGAGCTATATCAAAACACCTTCCAGTACATGATGAATAATACCAGGCAGCGCCTGTCATTCATGTGTGATGCCAAACATCGCCTTATTGAAATGTCAACAGCAACAGCAAAAGAAGTCTTATCACGTCAAACGGATACTTTACCACCCGCCTCCTCCTCTTCCGCCACCTCCCCTACCACCACTACCACTACTACACAGGTCTAACATTAGCCATCCTTCGTAGTAATAGTATCCATTTATTGTACATAGTTTGCCCGCAAATTCTAAAGAATAGAGGTATTGTTGTTTTTGAGTCATGATGAGATGGACTATGTGATGGTGTGTGAGTGAGGGTGCAGTAGTAGCGCAGTAAATGAGCCACTGAGTGGGGGGATATCGTGACTTTTTGAGATCCCGTCGCTGTCTCTTCTCTTCTCTCGTTTGATCGAACTTTTTCACAACACCACACATACACACGAGATATGGCGACCTTGAGTCTTCCCGAAAAAACTTCAAAGGACCTCTTGTTGGTCTACAAGTACACCAAGGCCGAAGGCATTGCTAAGCTTCAAACAGCTGACAACTTGGCATTGGAGGTAACGCGTTGAAATGTCACCACTCTTCATGACCGAAATTGACATTGAAAAATCCCTTCAAGGTGTCTGGTGAAAAGTATGAAGGTCCCGTGACTATTGCCAAATACCTTGCATCCAAGACTCAACCCGAGCTTCTTGGTGATGGTAAAGACAACCAAGCTGAGGTAAGAGGGGATGATGAATAGATGGGATGAGTGAGTGTGAGCTGATTTGTTTTATCATCCTAGGTTGAAGAATGGGCTACTTGGGGTGTTTCAGCTTTCAAGAGTGGTTCGAGCAAGGATATCACTGCTGCTCTTCAGGTAGGATGGCATGCATAAAATAGATGCTTCAATACTAACCATGACGTAGAAACTCAATGGTCACCTGAGCTATCGCACATTTGTTGTCAGCAATCAATTGACTATTGCCGATTTGATCATCTTTGGCCATGTCCACGGTGTCTCTGTAAGACGATGACCCCCGAATAAGAGAATTGCTTTCACCAACACTGCATGTCTATATAGAAAAACGTCAAGGTGACCAACGCTCCCAATGTCCTCCGATGGTTTGATCTTATTCAAAACATTGTTGTTGCCAAGAACAACCTTGTTGCCGAGTTTCCTCTTGTTGCTATCAACTTGGATGATGTTCCCGAACCCGTGATCGCTGCTGCTGTAAGTAAATGATATCATGGTTCTCATTCATGCACATGCTAATGGTGTTGTAATAGAAGGACAAGAAGAAGGGTGATAAGGAAGCCAAGAAAGGAGGAGACAAGAAGGAAGGTGGTGATAAGAAGGAGGAAGGCAAAAAGGACAAGAAAGACAAGAAGGCTAAAAAGGAGAAGAAGGAGAAGAAAGAACGTGAGTCGTATACACACTCTTGGTTTGACCGATCTTTGAAAACATCTAACATGGGCGTATAGCTGCTCCCGCTGCTCCTGAGCAACCCACCATTTCTCGTTTGGATATCCGTGTCGGTTACATCCGTTCCTGCAAGAAGCATGAAGGTGCTGATTCCTTGTATGTTGAGGAAATTGATCTTGGTGATGGTGAAGGTGTTTACCGCACTGTTGTCTCTGGTTTGGTCAAGTGGTATCCTCTTGAGGAAATGCAGGTAGGGAAGGAACATTTGATGTTGCTATGGAAACGTGAGATTGACACTATGTGTGATAGAATCGATGGGTTATTTGCATTGCCAATCTCAAGCCTGCTAGCATGCGTGGTGTCAAGTCTGAAGCCATGGTCTTTTGTGCTACTGCTCCCGATGGCAGCAAGGTCGAATTGTTGAGTCCTGTTGATACCAGCAAGGTCAAGCCTGGTGATAGAATCTACTTTGAAGGATTGGAAGGTAAGCTTTCTTTTCTTGGGTTCTATGATTGAATAGGTGGATTCAAGCTGATCCGATCTCTTTTTAGGCGAGCCTGAAAAGCAATTGCCACCCAAGAAGAAATACTTTGAAGCCGTTCAACCCGATTTCAAGACCGATGAGAATAGAATCGCACACTATCAGGATAAGCCTTTCCTTATCCGAACAGCTTCTGGTGAACCTGTCAAATGCCAAGTGGCTACCGTTGTTGGTGGTGGTATCAAATAAACGCATCCTTTGTGATTTTGCTTCATGTGCATAGACAAGTTTGACTATTATTACGATTAAATGACGCGAGCCTTTGTGTCGATCGATCCATATCAACTCTATGGTTCCCAAAAGTGTGGTGCATTATGGCGCTTTGACGACGCTATGATTGCAAGCGAGTGATTTTTTTATTGTAGGCCCCCTTTGTAGCTTTTGCTCACACCATTCTACGTTTCCCCCTGCATCATTTTCGTGTTTCTAGTCAAGTTTGCTCCTTTACTCGCGCCCTACGATTGAGCGGGTACATCATCTACAATGAGGAGGTTTTTGAATCAGAGTAACCATCACCCATGAATATGGCAACATCATACATGTGCATGTATTGAGGAGAGAGGGCGACTTTAATTCTTTTCATTGAGATCTGTATACAACGCGCAATTCGTGCTGTAATCACCCCTACATAGCCATTTTCTCACCATTCACCCGATCTTTTTCCCCTTCCTCCTCCTCCTCCCCACATCTACGGATTGTTAGTAATACCCTGCTACTGTACGTACATACGTAGGGTACGTATTTGATGCTTTTGAAAGATCCAGACCATGAGTTTAGTCCATACAAAAGTACGTGTGGTGGTATTTATTACTATATTAAGAACAACTCTCATTGAATAAACGGAGAAAGCACAAACATAGAGTGCGGGCGTGTATACTTGTATCAGGGTACTGCATATAATAGCGGTTTGTTTTACTATACTGTATTTTGCAAAGGCTGCATATGTGAAGGGCTTAGTGCTTATGGATGCTGGAGCTTGGAGACGAATTGCCATCATCATCATGCGGTGTTACCATAATAAAGCGGCCGTTGCTTGGATCATGTTCCATGCCAATAGCATCAAAATCATTTCTCTTTTCAGGGCCATTGTCAAATGTGCCATGCATAGTTTCATTGGGATTCGAGGTGCTGTTGATTTGTTCCTTGGTTGTCTTGCCGGTGGGATTAGAAGTAACCCAGTGGATGGTGATCACGTTAATAGTGACATCAATGGTGCAGCACGTCAAGCAAACAACACCACGCTCACGGCCGTTCATGATGGTCAATGCAAGAATGTTGGCGGATGATACGAGCAAGCATACAACCGATGCAATAAGTGTACGACGAGCTACATCATGCAATCGTGTTTGCTTCCAGTCGCTGTGTACGCTCTTGCTAACCTTCATCAAAGGCTTGATAAAGAGGATAGTCATATACAAGTTGAAGACCTACATACAGGGTACAAGGTTAGACAAAGTTGAGAGGTGACGACTCATCCAAGTTTTACGTACGAAATCATAGCTCTATAGAATAAAGGTTAATATTTGCTATAAACGTAAATGATGATGATCCTACTACTTACGAGCAAGGGGATACTGGCAATAGGTTGAAGGCCGATCCAGCAAACGCCTGACTCTTCAATTTCCGCAATGTGATACATAAGCTGTCAAATTGACATGTATAAGTAATTGCCTTTGTTGGGAAAGTAAGCAGCTGATTCGTACCATAAGACCGAAAATGATAACATATGGGGCCATCAAAGCAAGGTGGAACTTGTATGAACCTGTCTTCAATCTTGATTTTCGCACAGCAGACACAACCCACACTTTTTCAATCAACCTGTTGTTGTTGAATTAAACTTGCTGTTAGCATGCGTTTCCAAAAGCGCACATTGACATACCAAAAGTAAATCGTGAGCTTGGTAGCGGCGTAAAACACATCACATGTCAACTCGGAGAGCAAACAAGATAAATGATTTTCTATTACACATGTCAGCACGAGCCACCTATATGAACTTGTTACTACCACCACCACTTACCATTATTGGTAGAAGACAAGACGACGGCAGTATAGGTGAAGGCCCAAGAGTTGATGTATAACATGACGACCAGCCATCGAGAATAGGTCAAGTATTTGAATTGCACATTGTATGTTTTCATGCCAAAGAGAGCACACATGATGGTACATGATACGAGAGCAATGCCTTGTGATACGATCTCGCTCGTATCAGGCTGTACCTCCATGACGATATTGCGTAGCACATCCACTGATTCATTCGTTGTGGGGTCCATTGTTTGATTTAGCTTTCCGATAAGCGGTGTCGAAATCGAGTACAAAGAAGAAGGCAGAGAAGAAAGTAAAAAAAGTGAAAAAAACCGGTTCCTTTTATCGCTCAATTAGCCTGATGCGTCCTTTTTCACCTCCTGGGTTGCTTTTTTCGCACGCGTATCTCTTTGATTGTTGCGTCTGCCCTTTTAGGGTGTAGGGCTGTGCTCAAAAAAACACTCCCTTGCTTTTACGGTCCCATCAAACCTTCCCCGATTGTACGTGTGCCAACACCTGTAGACCTCCTTTCAGTCAGCCACACACACACACACACGTACACATTTATTGATCTTCATCAAGAGCCACCTGAATCACTTTGATCCAATGCGGCAGCTATCTTAATGCCTGTAGTCTTCATGTTTCTTGGGATCAAAACTTGCAGAAAATGAAATGAGCCCACAAGGGCATCAAAGAAAACAGGGCTACAAACAAATGGGATATGCTCCTCCTTAAGAAGGTGATAATTCATTATAAAGCCTAACTTTAAAATGGGATGTCTCCCTATATCATCCACACATACACACGCGTGTGTCTCTAAAAAGTGCTTTTAGCTGTGTCGATCGAATCTGTCATCTCATTCCATATACTGCAACACCCCCTTTCACTTTTTTTTTGCTGTTGTAGTGACCATATGCGATCCACGGACGCCCCATTTCTCCCACTAAGGCACAATACGGATGACTTTTTTTTCACCCAGCACGTTACCCTCATTGATCAAGGAGTACATACATAACCCCCACGCAGGCATCTTTATGTTTTTGTTTGTAGGTCATTCTCATGCGATATACCACTGTGAAGATCTGCTATCTGACTCCCTTTCCTCTCCTTTTTAAGCGCTATACCCTACTTGCAAGCATCTCCTATCAGCTCTATGTTTTCTTTCTTCCGCGCCTTTTCGGCTTTCTCTCTCTCTCTCTCTTTATCCTCACTGGTATCCCTTGTTCTCCTTACAGTTCATCATAATAACCTATCGGCTCGATTCGAGTACCAGAAATATGGCAATAATCCAATGACGTATAAAGATCACGGAGACCAATCACCCTGATAAAAAAGATCGAGAGACGCAATAGAAGCATGTATATGTACAATACGACCTCTCTCACACGCACACTCTCTCACCCCTTCCCTCTCCCTCTGTTTTCCGCATATCACAAATCATAGGTCATTTTCAAAAGGAGGTCCACATTGATGTTGATTTGAATGACGATGATGATGATGGTAAAGATGACAATTCGAAAAAAGGAATATGATGCAAGAAAACCTAGTCGCACAAGCAATTCCAATTGATAGCCGAACGAGCATTCTTGACAAGGTATTCATTGGCAGCCTTGAAATGACCACACTCAAGGAAACCACCTGTGTTGCAAAAAGGGCGTGTGTGTGTGTGTGAGTCGAGGAGGTTTAAGCGTGTACCTTTTGTAAAAAGTTAAACTTACGATGGGCTGACAGGGGTGAAGGATGGACCGATTTCAATACCAAATGTTTCTATTATATATAACGAGGATGAATATATAACATGTCAAATGGCGCGATATGAACAAACTTACCGATTTGTTGATCTTTCCGCTTCTGCTTTGTGCATGTGATCCCCAAAGCATGAAAACAATGTGTGCGTTCTTCTCACTCAAATGACTAATGACGGCATCTACATACATGATCACGTCAACAATGACACGAATGCAAAAAAAAGGCCTTCATGAAATATTACCTGTGAACTTTTCCCAACCTTTACCAGCGTGGCTTCCAGCATCATGCGCACGGACTGTCAACGAGGTATTGAGTAGCAACACACCTTGCTTTGCCCAGTTTTCAAGGAACCTATGTATACGCACGTTCATTCAGTATCCATATCCACCCTTTTCCTCGTTGACGTTATCCTTACCCATGGTTAGGTGTCTTGAAGTCAGGATAGTCCTTTGTAACAGCCTTGTAAATGTTGACGAGAGAGGGAGGCACCTTGACACCTTTGGCAACAGAAAAGCAAAGACCATGTGCTTGGTTGTAATTGTGATAAGGGTCTATTCAGGCACTCGCGTTAATCAAACAAGCCATTCGTTGCTAGGCAACTGAAGCGTATTAATCACCTTGACCAATGATAACAACCTTCACTTTGGATGGAGGCGTGTAGTTTGACCAGCTGTAAATCTGTGGTGCTGTAGTATGTATGATGTTGAGTTCCATGACCATGCCCTCATCCCAACCCCCTTACGTACCTGGAGGAAAGATGGTCTTTTTGGCATCCTTTTCGGCTTTGAGGAATTTCTTGAGCTAGATCCATCATATCAACAAATGAGTGAGTGGCCTTATCCATGTGTATTCAGGGGTGGTGTCTTACTTCGATAAAGTATGGCTTTGTGAACTCGGGCTTCAGTGCCTTGAACCAGTCATATTGCATAGTAGTGAGTTCCAAGTCCAAGAGCTCCTTCATGTCGTCGCTAATGTCGGGCAACAGATCGATGGGTTTGCGTGAAGAAGTTTTGACACCAAGTGCTTGAACGTCCTTTTCCACCACCTTGGGCTTGAACATGCTCAAAAGCGATGCTTGTCGAGTGGCAGGCTTCTTGGCAGTGCTCTCATTCTTCTCCTCGAGAGGTCGTTTGTTGTTGCTGTTCTTGTCGGTTTGCATGATGGCAGCGGGCGATCGTGTCAAAAAGAGTCTGTTGCAGCGGAACAACCTGCCAATACTTCGCCATGACACGCTCATTTACTGTACTCAGCGGACACACACACACACACGCGCGTTTCAACGCGAGGCGATAAATCAGCAGGTGATCAAGCTCACATTTGTATACGACATCCCATACACACCACACCATACCTCAATTTATCCCTATTTGCTCAACAACATTCCACCATGACATTGAATACACTACCATAGTAGCATTGTCATCACTCATCATACACCTTTTATTTGTATCCTGATCGTTAGCTAGATGACTACATCTTATCTTACGTAAAGGCATCGTTATACGCACCTAAGGAAAAGGCAAATGTTGAATCGAGAGTATGATAATACGCCAACAAACTTGAAGCAACTTGGGAGTGCTATGTACGTACATAGGGCGGTCTTCTCCTAGTCGTCAACCCAAATTGTGTGTCAAAATTGCAGTATTATGGAAGTTCCCACCCTGATTGGAAATAAACCCAACGTCTATTTCGAATAAGCTGCATAATGGATGCATGTGTGTTTGCACCTTGGGAGGGGAAAAGATGTTCCGTGTATATCAAAGGGTGGTCATTGTGCTGGTCGATAATGATTCACATGCATGGGTGTGTGTGTGCCTGAATCGCTGGCATTGTTGATTAGTAGCCCTTGAGATGTATAATGTATGTAGACTACATTTGAATCAGCAAGATCCTCACTTGCCCTCACATGTCCTTCCTATCTTGTCTGATGCGGATGTTGCGTTGTTGTTGACATTCAATGCACTATTTAACCAATTGGGGTGGGGGAAAATATGAGACGCAGTGAAACAGGGATCCCTAGAAATAGAAGCTAAGACAAAGACTACATAGGAAACGTGAGAGGAGAAGCCTATAAATAACAGGTGTACACTATGGATCGGGATAATGCGGTACAAATACTTCAATGCTGGTGCCCTCTTGTTGGTATGTCAATTTTGTTGGTGTGTCAAACCCTTTGACATGTGCGAGGCTTAGCGAGTTCAACATTTGTCTTTGATGTGATCGCAAGAGGAGATGCTTATAATAGCTGATTGCTGTACTCGACACCTATTAAAAAAATGTGGCACTTTCATTGTGCGGATCATGACCTCCCTTTTACGGGGATGATGTGCATTGTTTGCAATGTTGGATTTACACATGTTAAAGGCAGGAATCCTTGAACGCTTTTGTAGATGGTATTATGATGGCGGTATTTATGATTCCTACTATGCTAATATCGAGTTTGGATTATGGTTAATGGAGGAGGGGCGGTGGCAATGCAACCAGATCCTTTCTAAATGTGCTGCTAAATATATGCCTTTACCCCCCTTCACTGGGCGCCAACGTCCTCCTCCCAATTCCTTTTGTTTTCGGGTGCTTCACGAATTAACGCTGCACAGCAGCTGATGCACATGCATGCGCCCTAAATCAACTATTGATAAACACACCCAACATCATCACGCGACCTCACATTGGTTGACGATCCACCATTTGCCATACAAGGAGTAATGTTGATCGTTCGTTGATTGGCTAAACACTTGTAACGATTAACACGGTAAAAAGACACACCTTGCTTACCATAGTATCGGAAAAAGGTGCATGCGTTTATTTTTGCACTGAGAAATTCAAGAATGGCCGGTTTGCTGGATGCGTTGTACATTGTATTTTCAAAGATAGGATCAGTTTGCTGTTCACATGATAGCACCCATTGTTCATCCTGATTCAGCAATTGCAATCAATAGACTCCATAAGAAACGAATTCAAATTGAAGAATGTAACAAACAGAGTCGATCTTTTATCCGTGGACAATATCGTGCCTATAGAACCAATGAGTGGCCGCTGGATGATGTTATAACGTTCGTATACAAAAATGCGGACGGAGTGTGGAGATAGTGTAACGTTGAACAAGTAAAGAACCTAAAGAGCACGGCCGTGATACGATATTGTATTCACCCGGCTTGTTCATTGAAGCAGCTCGTCCACCAGGTGATCAGGAGAACATCAATTATTGAATGGATAAGCCCACAAGTGATACACAAAGGGCTTCGGATGTCTTAAGGTCACACGCGACAACACCACCTGCAGGTTTAATTGGTAATCGAGGAGGGCAGTGGTACTGAAGCTCAAAAATGATGTTGATGGTTATACGCCGAGCCATTCAGTTATCAGCAATACATGGCCTTTTACTCGTTGCTATGATACAATCGCCAAGAATGCAACTTGAAGAATTGGCATTTCTCTCATGAGCTATCGTGACATGACTAAAAAAGGAGACAAGGCGTGGAATAAAAACGAGTGTTTAAGCTAAGGGGGGTGTGAGTTTGATGATGGTGGAGAACTTGTGAGTAGCATCTATGCGTTCCCCACAGATCAGGCGTTCTAATTTTTTTTAAAAAAGGTTTCTTGCATCCGCCCTTCTCGACATGTTCATTCTTCTTTTTCTTCCTTTCGATACAACAACAGCATCATGCGCTTAAAACTCTTTCCCAACCATGCACAACCCCTATTGAGGCTGCAACATCCTACCAACAACAATCCATTCTTCAAATCTAAGCGATTTTCTGCAACCACCACACAACATTCACAGAATAAGGAAGCAGCCACCACAATCGACCATTTACCGGATGAGATAATCACGCTGATATTGCTTTCGATTCAAGACGTTGATATCGAGATGCTATGCACCATTGCAGCTGTAACACCAAAGTTTCGACGTATCGCCATGGATTTAATTCGACGCTACATGCTACCTGGTATCCAGCTTAATACCTTGATTGACCAAGAAGGTCGTCGTCGCTTCACAACGCACTACTTTTTCCAGGCCTTGGATGAAGAAAAGATGATGGCTACATTTATACCATTGATATCCACACCCAAGCGCGTTCGTAATGACAATTATGCTGCCCTTCCCACGCTTCGTCGTTTATGCATGAGTGATTCAGGCCATCAGGCGCCTGTAAACAAAAGCGGGCCACCACCACGTCATGAGTCTTTAAACAGACGGCAAGCATCATGGCACACACTCGACAGCATGACGCCTACGATGCTTGATATGGATTCCAATACGAATGCCTTAGTGACTAAAAAACGACCTTTAAAAGTCGCTCAAGCGGGTCATCATGTGAGTTGCTCAAACAGGATGGTGCCAAGCACCAGTGGCAGCAGCAACAACAGCGTGTGGCAAATGGGATATCGTGTTGATGAAGGCAGCGGGAGCGATCAGGATCGCTACGTGACTCCAACACATGTTCACATCCATCTTTCATTGCTATGGCAACAAAAGAAAAGAAATCACACAAGCCATGCTTGGACAACATCTTTTGGATGGATCAAAAAGAAAAAGACGACGACAACAGCAACATCTAATCCTATAGACATTAACAACAACAGCATCATCACGTAAATGGACATCCCCCCCCCTGATCTCATTCTGCGAATGTTATATCCCGCCTTCTCATCATACACTCCTTTTACTGCATAAGAATTCTTATTGTGCCTTGTCATTGAAGACGTTCTAATACATAATTATCTTGGGTATTTCTGCACATATTCGGGTAGCAATTTGATTGGGCTTTTATATGCAAAGGTTACACGGAGTCATTGGCAATATCGCTTTCTCTCTCTCTCTTTCTTACTTTCCCTCTCTCTCTCTATCTCACTATTGCTGCTACTACCTACTCTCCTTGTCCTTTCCCCTCATTTATCGACCTTGACCACACAGCAGCAAAACGAAAATACTTGAGCCATGGACAGGGATTTTCTTTGCCAGGATCCCTCCCCATCGGTTAATGTGCCCACCGGCTCACGATCGACACCTTTGCCGAGAAGCAATGCACCTCAACCTCCTGCCAAGCAGCGCTCACACGACGACGATCCAACATCATTGAATCTAGCGTATGACACCATCGATATCAAGGAACAAGTAACGAGTCCAACAGCTCGCACGCCTCGAGTCGACATATTACGCGAACCAAGAGTGCATCAAACGTTTCAGTTTTCAGGAACACCAGGGGGACGCCTTAAAGCTCATCGTGTTGGATTTGCAGAATATGGAGCTGTCGAAACAGGTCATCCAGCATTTATCATTGGTGGTCATGGATGCAGTAGGCTGGTGGGTGTCATGTTTGATGATTTGGCAAAGAGGCATAATATCAGGACCATCTGGCCAGAGCGACCTGGGTAGGTAACATTCATTATTGTTGCTAATGCACGTGATATTGAATCTCTTTTATTATAGTTATGGACTTAGCGAAGAATGTAGTGCTCAAGAGATGAGTGTCTTGGAATGGGCTGGTAAGTAGTATCAGGGGAGGACATTATGGTTTGCAGGGTATAGGATGATGGCTCACAAATGGGAGGAATTTACTGCTGTTGTTAGAGGTGGTGATTCAGCTGGCTGATCACTTGGATATACGACGTTTCAGCATTATTGCACAATCCGTGGGCGCTGTATTTGCGATGGCGATTGCACACAAGTATCCTACACGTGTGGTGGGTCCATTATTCCTGATTTCACCCTGGGTATCAACACATGCTGCCAATACCTTCAAATGGTCTCGCCGATTACCTGCCATGTTGGTTACACGCACCGTATCCTTAGCAATGGATGTCATGTGGATGCTTAACAAATCAGCACCTACCATGGCAACAGCAACACCTTCAGCATCAACAACCCCCTCCACCACATCAACATCCACCACCGATGAGGATGCAAGTATCAGCACCTTTTCCAATCCATCTTCGCCACGCTTTAATGAAAACAACCAATTACCCACCTTTAGCAATGTATCACCACAGCAGACGATTCCATCCATGACGCTTGAAGAAGAAGACGAGTTGCTTGCCTCTTTTGATGATGATGATTTTGATCTCCCAACTGATTTCCCTCCTCATCGTCCATTACGACATGCTGTGCGGCCCAAAAACATGTCCTTGTATTTTGCCATGAACAAGTTGCGGATGACGGAGCCCTATGCACAGGGTCAAACATTGGATGTTCTTGTGGCTCTGGAAAAGTACCATTCTTTTGGATTCAGCTATTCAGAAATCAAGACGGCCATCACGGCGGTGTGGGGTGATAAAGACGGCTTAATCCCTATACGCGCGGTGGAAGTGCTTGCCAATGGATTGCGTGACGTACGATTCAAGATTCTCGAAGGGGAAGGACATGATCTTGTATGGAAGGAAGGTGTCATGGAATGGGCTATCCGTGGTGTGGCTGAACGATGGCGTGTCCGTACCGAGCGATTAACAATGACCATGATGAACAAGATGATGCGTGTCCAATCATGATAATTTTTTCTCTACTTTTACTACTACTACCTCCTACTCTTCTGCTTTCTCTCATTATCTTATAACCCTTACTACATCATTACTAGTCGCAAGTTATTCCATATCATTTTCAATATAATGTAATTTTCAAGGACTTGATAGTAGATGGACGACGTTTGCATGACATTAACCCAATGCGGAATTTCCAAAAGAGGGAGGGGAAGGGATTGTATGGAGGAGGAACCAAAGGTGAAACCTGCCCTGTTTGTGTTTGTTTCTCGTCGTGAACCATGACAACCTTTGATGGCCAAGTACGCGAATACCCTGTCATTGCTATCGATCGTTTCAAACCACAGGCGGGCGTCAAGTACTACTTTCTTACGCATGCTCATGCTGGTATGTATGCATTCGCGCTTTCAGGGCGTCTACTTTTTATTCAGCCATTGACAAAACGTGTTCCTGTAGACCACACACAAGGTCTTGAGAATAGCCAATTCAGAGGCAAATTGCATTGCACAGAGATTACAGCCAAGTTTTTATTGAACAAGAGGATACGAAAGAAGCAGCCATTTGCATATCTACGTTCTTCTATGATAACACACGTCGAGATGGAAGAGTTTATCCTGGAGACGACCGAGTACGGCAGATTGACAATCACATTTCTACCAGCAAATCATTGTCCAGGTGCTATTATGTAAGTAAGGAATGATGCTTTGAGTGATGATGCTGTTCATGTAGTAATCGACATTCTACGTCGTACAGGATCTTGATTCAAGGATGCAATGGGACCGTGCTTCATACAGGTAAGGAAGGACTCATCCATCACTTAAGCCACCCAACCAACCAATGCATGTATTCATTCATTCATGCAGGCGATATGCGAGCTGAACCAACCTTTGTGGACGATTCTTTATCCATTCTCGAGACTCTCAAGATACGCCACTTGTACATGGATACCACCTTTTGTGCTCAACAGTTCGACACTTTTATTACAAAGGTAACCAGGATGATAATACCGAATATGGTTTGTCTCATATACATGTTTTGAAAATAGGACAAGGCCATTGAGCTGTTGATTGATCTTGTTCAAAAGAGTCCAAAGGATCAGCAATTCTATCTTGATTTCTGGATGTATGGGCACGAAGAATTATGGTTCGCCATCGCTCATACTTTTGACAGCAAGGTAAATGTCCCCCATCCCTTAAAGAGTTATCAGCCTTGGAGATGATACTTATTTCATAATGATCCTTAGATCCATGTTTCCCCTGAGCGATATCAGCTCTATTGTTCAGCACAACCAAGCTACAATGACATTTTGACGCTTGACAGCGACGTGCGTTTCCATTCCTGTCGATGGCAATCTCCATGTTGTCAACATAGCAACAAGACCACTTGTGTTTATCCAAAGCCTACAACAGATCCTAGCATGCGGTTGTATGAAAATGAAGAGTACTTGCTGCGTACCGATTTACCACGCAACGTTCAACTGAATCAATACTTGGTAAGAGGAGGCATATCATGCTATTATCATTCCCCCCCTCTGATTGCAAATCCTTCTCTTAGGTGCTTCCGTTTTCGATGCATTCATCTTTGAGCGAGATTGTTGGATTTATAAAGTATGTGAGACCGTCACGATTGACCGCCACTGTGGCCCACGGGAAATGGAATCAGGTCGAATATATGCGCAACTTGCTCAGCTTGCATGGTGCCGACGTGTTCAGTAGTGGCAACCAAAGCAGTGGTAACGATAGCAGTAGTATCAGCTTGTTGATCGGATCCACGGATGAAAGCAACACAACGCAAGATACCTTTTTGTTCTCGGATGAAAATGATCCTGCACTAGCAGCACCCTCTTGTCAACCCACCACCACCAAATATGATCGGGCAGCAGCCAAATTTCGAGAACGATATTCAAAACGCAAATCAATCCATATCAGTACTCTAGAAACATTAACATGGTACGGCAGCTCAATCGAAGAATTAGCAGTGCCAACGAACGATGATGATGCCAAGGAGCAACAACAACAACGACCAAAAGACAATAGCAGCTCACGCGAATCATTGCAACAAGTATCTGGAAACAACAAAAAAGCCAAAACCGAAGAACAGCATAAAGCCGCCACCACCACACCCATCGTCATCTGCTTAGATTGAACCCTACTATTGCCGCATTGTATATATGGACATCTACTACTAGCTACTACCTCATACTGCACATTTTATAATACATACATAGTATCATGCTTTTACCATTACTCGAGGACCATGACCCATGTATACAAATTTCCTTGTCAAAAAGACCCATGTTGCTATTTGTCATCTAGTCTACAAGGGTGAGGTGGGGGGAGGAATACTATCATCTTTATTTCTCTTTCTCAGACAACATCCGTATACAACGATGATACTACGATGGTGGCCGACTATGGTGGTGATGGTTGTTGCTGTATTCAGCATGACCATCCATGCATTTTATTTAAGGAAGCAACCACATCATGTGACCAACTCTGTGAAAAATGAATCGAGCGTGGTACTATCGATGCATAACACGGAAAACGACGACAACCGTACAGAGGACGCTCTCAAGGCGTTTATACATGACGAGGCGTGTGGTATAGGTGTCTTGACATGTATGGCCTTTGCACATGACCAGCACAAAAAGATACCAGTGTTATGCGGGACATTAAAGAACGCTCCTGTTTGCCTTGGGCCAAGTGGTAAAAAGTGTGATGCTTTTTGTGACGCTGATGGGTAAGTTTCTTTTTGGGAGGGGTTACAAGCAGCAGTAGTAGTATTAGCAATACTCATAGTTTGATGATAGTGGCTCTCGAGTATGTGCGTATGCCTTTTCAAAATGTTGTTCTCATAGTCCCAATGGATGTATTTCTTCTGAGCCTCGTAATGTAGTCCTCAATAACAAATAAAAGCTGGCTATCGGTACTTGCATTGTGTCACCATGGTGCATGACACCACCCGACCGTGTGCGCTCAATTCTTGTTCCTTTTCTATTCACACACACACAGCCCAATGGAGCAAGAACTCATCGAACTCCTTCTAGTCGCCAAGAAAGCCTTATCTACTGGACAAGCTATATGTGCTCAAGCCAATGAGCTCTCACAGGAATCGGACCGACACGTCGAAGTTATTGAACGCACTTGGGCCAAGATTCTCTTTGTACGCAACCATGTGCTCATTCAGCTTAGTACCCTCGAGCGCATTCGCGAATTTCTTTCAGTCAAGATCGATGAGGTTCGCAGCTGCATTCAGGTATGCATGTATACATACGACTACGTTTATTACGTTCTTTTTCTCATGCTACTTTAGGATCGTGAAGAGAACTTGGCCGAGGTATCATTGAACCTGCAAAACATCTTTCGTGTCCTCAAGGGTTGTACAATTGATCCAGGGATCATGGCCATCAATACACAGCAAAACGATCAGAGGAAACAGCATGCCACGTTGTTCGATTACATCGACCATCAGTCAGTGTTGGATATACAAAAACAGGCGGATGATGAGATTGGTGATATCGAGGCAAGTGAATTGTATTGTCATGTGGATAAATATATGCCACGGGGATGGATAGCTGACAAGGGATCCCATAATAGAACCTCTACTCTTCCTTGATGACGACAGCCAAGTCGCTTTCGGTGACCATATCTGAGCTCGCATCCATGCAAGAAGCAGCACTATCGATTTCATTGGACAAGTCAGCCTCCGCATTCTCAGATGACAAGGCACAGATACAAGAAATTACCATTGCAAAAATGGCAGATATCTTGACCAGCTTGACCAATCATTATATACAACTCGGTGAAGCAACAAGGTATGGATAGAAGGAGAAAGGGGATACGAGGTTGATTTGACTCTAAAGGGATATCATTAGGTTATGCCAATCAGAGCCCAATGCCCCATTGGATATATCAGGTAATACATGATAAACGCATTCTCAGCCATCAAGGGTCCTAAATGATCGTCCCCATTGTATGCTCCAGTATTACAAAAGGACCACGAGCAAGTACCACGGATTTTGGATGACTTGAGGGAATCTCTGGAAATTGTTGAATCTATCAGGTACGCATGATGATGTTACAACGATCCGTCGATTAACGCTTTAACGTAGTGAAGAAATCCGCGTACGAATGCAAGTTTATTTATCAGTACAAGATGAGCTATTGAAGGTCCTTGCCCATCAAGAAAAGTTCAGTACACCTGGAGGTCAAGCTGATACGATATGCGACAAAATGGTCAATGCCGAGGTAGGTTGTGTGTGTGTGTGTACGTGAAAAGAGCCAATCCATTGGTGTCATTAACAAGGTGGATGAATAATAGGCCGAGATGAAAACGCATGAGCAAAAGCTTGCCGCTTATTTCAAAGAGTTGACATCATTAGCAGAATGGTACCAGGTTTATGCAGCATCCTACAGTCATCTTGTGTTGGAGATTGAAAGGAGGAAGAAGGCTACCGAGCGACAAGAAGAACTCGTCAAAGAGCTTACACAATCGTTTGAGGATGCATACAATGGTACGTGAGGTAGAAAAGGAAACGATGATGAATATCCTACTCATACTGGGTTATATGTAGATGAGTACCAAGAGCGACGGCGATGGTTTGCGCAACATGGTAGTTTCTTGCCAGAAGGACTTTGTCAATTCATGACGGTAGGTTAAGCGGGCTAAAGGATCATGTAAAGGAAAAAGTGGTGATACTAAGCATCCAATCCCATAGGATCCACCATCTCGTTTATTTGTGCACATTGATGAGCAATCCCGAAGGCTACCTGATTTATCTCCATCCACGGTTAAAAAGGTAAGATACAAAGGTAGAGACATTAAAGGAAAATGCTTTATTTACATGTTGACATAGGCACTTGCCGACATCCATGATCGATCCACGACCACTTCTTAATATCCCCTTGTTGTTACCTTTGAATGAATCATTCCCGTATATAAAATCATGATGATATTAGAATGAATCAATTTGCTCTTTCCTATAACGTAGTGTTGAGTGACCAGGGGCAGAGGCATCATCATTATGTGAGACAATGACGACGATGATAATGAAACGCCAAAGATCATCACAACCATTGGTACATTGTCTCTTACAAAGAGGACTACCACATCGATTTGAGATTAGGAGGTCTTAGGTGCATCAAAGAGAAAGAGATGCGTCGGAAGTAGCTTGATGGATGAAAACTTTTTATTTGCATGATGGGCTTGGGTATTTATGTGGTCAAAGAGAATCATAAATGTTTGTTGTGGAGGGTGATGAGCTCATAGATTGCTAGGGAACTTCACAAAGAGCCTTGGTGCGATGCATAAATCAGGATTCGAGACGTAAACAAGGTGGGTGATAATATCCGTTTTCTAACAATGACAATCATCACTGCTATCACAAATCGCTTGCTGTGCTGTGCTCAAATTCCACGACATAGAACGACATCCTTCATCTATAAAGCATAGTACCCATATTCCCTTAATCCCCATCTTATGGTACAATGCCTTTATTAAGTTGATTGACAGTATTCTAACCATGATAATGATACATCCTCAAGGTGTTCATCGAAATCGACAAGGCGGTTATATGATCCCGAGCTAAACATGCCGCGTACTTTTGGATAGGTTTCTTCATAGCTGAGCACCACTTCGCTATCCTTGGAAAAAGCTTGCTTGACGCCTCTCCATTGGTTCTCTCGAAAAATATACGGCTGCATCATCGATAACGTGTGTGTTGTCAGTATTTTTCTCTACCTGATCCCATCCATCCATGCTTACCGAAATGACACTGCCATCCTTGATATCATGCAATTGTCCCATCTTATCATTGTTCACCTACGACGCGTATGTCAATGATCCATCATCACCACACACAAAGACATCATGCCACCTACCATGAATACAATAGCATCTCCAGAATTCTTTTTTATGACGTTGGCGACGCGTACGGCGTTCTCGTGAAGAGCATTATCTTTGTTGCGTGCGTTTGCTTGATACCAACCGATAACTTTGAGATCGAGTTGCTTGGCTGCCAATTCCGCCTTTGGAGAGAGATGATCAATATCACAATGGCGGTTTGTCTCGCGTTCTCGTTTTATACCTGTTGAAGGGCAATCTCAAGCATGGGGCTCATGGAGGTCCAATGGTGGAAGAAGGGAATGCCGGTCTTGACGTCAAGTGAGCCGTCCGCATGGACTTGGCCAAGCAAGACACCACAAACAAGAGCTTCAGGATGCTTTGCTGCATGTAATAAGGGAAGAGCGAATGCACGTGGGCCGACTTGAATGGTCATTGGGAAAGGATAGAGAGGGACGTACAAAGAGGGACCTGATAAATTCGGCTTGCTTTCATCCCAGCAGGCAGACGTTATGCACTTGTTGCCATGAAGGACCTTGTCACGTACGCACACACACACACCTATACAACACCTGCCGCCGAAGGAATCTGCTACTACTCGACATAAATGCTTCATGCCTACCTCGTTGTGTTTGTCTCATAGATCCTGATATCATTGAAGAAATCACGTGCTGTTATGGAACCATTGTTGCATGGCAACCAGTTTATAATGTATATCCAATCAACCCATATCAATAAATCAATCGTGTATGTTGAATAACCCAAATCGAGCGTGATGGATTATCATTGTTTTACAATACAATGGAAGGATAGCAAATATTAAATGACGATGATCGAATGTTTGTTGGGAAATGTATGTGTGGGTGTGGGTGGGGTAGAAGACAAAGATAGCAACAATGGTGGTGGTGGTGGTGGAGTCGTTGTTGTCGGGGATGGTTTGTGGGATTCAATTTCGTTATGGTCATGCAACGTGCATATTTACCTTTTTCCCTATTCTTGACTCCTGCGCAATGGCTATTCGTTGTGTCCAGAGTTTGACCATTCCTCCAACGTCCAATGCCAAACCATTCACTGCAACACCACAACATGCTCATCTCGAATTGGTGGAACCTGCTGCGCGAGGCGATCTTGCTTTGGTTCAGGAACTGATCGATGCCAACAAGGATCCCGACAAGCCGAATCCTACCACGGGTTTACGTCCTCTTCATTACGCTGCCTCAAGGGGTTATTTGGATATATGCATAGCTCTGATTGAGAAGGCGGGTGCTAGCGTGGATGGTGTTGATACAGAAGACGAGGTATGTCCATATCATATGTACCTATATGCTGATGATGATGATGATGGCTGACTATGAATTGGTTGCATCTCTCTCTCTCTGTAGACAGCTTTACTCAAGGCAGCTTATGCTGGTCATCTCCCTGTGGTACAATATCTCATCAATGAAGCAAAGGCGGATGCGACACATCAAGATAAAGATGGTTGGACGGTGCTTCACAATGCTTGTTCCTGTGGCCATTTAGCCATGGTCCGATTTCTTATACGACATGGAGGTGCTGATTTGGATGTCAATGCTGTGAGTCGGCTGGGTCATACGCCTTTGAGTAAGTATACCCCATCATCATGTGTGTATAAATGTTTATCATTAAACTGACTGGCAGATGAAATCAGTTAATGCAGCTTCCAAAGGTGACTTGGCCATTGTCGAGTATTTACTTCATGAAGCAGATGCCGATCCTTTACAACGAAATGCATTTGGGGAAACAGCTTATGATGCAGCGGCTGCTGCTGGAAGTGCCTATGTTTGTCAAGTGCTTGAAGCAGCTGAACGTTATTGGAGTGAACAATGTAAGTGCTTTGTGTGTGTGTGTGTGTGTGTGTGTGTGCGTGTATGGAAGAAGATCGATGAATTATTGACAGGTCGTACACACGCACAATTTAATATTATTAGCACATGAGCCATACGATGTTTTACGATCACACGTGACAGTACCTGTCATTTTGCATGAGAATCAACGAGCAACGTCTTCCTTCTTGGCCATTGGTAAACCCACCTTTTCAGCTGCTGCGCTTACAAGGAATGATCAACGAGGAGCTTGGAGCTTATATCCTTCAGGAGAAACAACGACCAAAAGCCATGTTCGATTACCACAACAAACATCCTGGTTTTGGTTATCAGATTGGACAGTGGATTTCTCACACCCCATTGCCGACAGCTATGGATGGCAATATTCACGCAGCTTTGATGAAGAGGATGAAAATTGGACGAGTATCATGCCTACGTCAACATCGGGATGGGTGAGAAGGCGGCGTTGGGTACGCATCATGAAACGACGTGTTGAAGAAGTCCTCTATGCACCTTTGAATACCCATGAACAACAACAAGTGGTCGATGAATATACCAACAACGTATCGCCATTGGATGCAGGTCATGAGCAACATCGAAATCTTGGATCGTTTCACCATGTTGATCATCAATCGATATCGGGCAATAATAACATCAGCACCGGCAGCAGCAGCAGTAGTAGTAGCAGCAGCAACAGCAATTATGCACCAGCTGCATCTGGAACCGTGAGCATGACCTTGACAAAAGCACAATCTGTGTTTGTCGGTTGCCAAACACATGTTCAATCCGTGGAACCAGAGCCGCCGCGGAACCCATCATCGATTTCATCACCACGTCCTTCTTTACAGAGCACGCGATCATCTTCACTTTCCAGGATTGCCTATGTATGGGAACGTAATGAACAAGCACCCAATTGCCGACGATGTGGGCGATGGTTTAACTTTTTAGTGCGTCGGCATCATTGCAGGTAATGGGAAAAAAAAACAAGGTCGGCTGATCAACATCCATCCATCGGTTGCTTATGCACGCACTCTATATTTTAGACGATGCGGGCTGGTTGTTTGCGACAAGTGCTCGACAAATCGCGTGATGCTACCCTTTTCACACATTGTACAAGACCCAGCAGTACCCATGGAACAACACTATCAGATATCACTACAACCACAACGCTTATGTGATGGATGCTTTGAAGAATTATCAAGGCCAAGAGGCACTAGCAGCAATAGTCGACCTACTAGTGTGAGAATGGGACGCTCTTCAAGTGTACAAAGTATCATGATGGAATGTCCCGTGTGCGGAAGAGGATTGGATGAGTTTGGGAGCATGGATGAACAAGAACAGCACGTACAGACATGTTTGAATGCGAATACACCTGCAGCCTTATCAGGGATACGATACGTCGGTAAGAAGCAGCTGCATTATTATTATCCTACCTCTCTCTTCAACAAGATCTCTCACACAACGATGTTGTAGTGTACAAGTTGGCATTGGATTCAGCGTTATTAGGCCAAGAGTGCGTGATTTGCTTTGAAGAATTTATTCAAGGTAATTTATGGGTAATAAGAACGAAACAAATGAGACCTGCCATTGATGGAATTATGTCTGGTGACGTCTTGTATAGGTGACACAATGGCTAGACTGAGTTGTCTTTGTACTTTTCATCATCGATGTATCCATGCTTGGTTTACAAAGGGCAAGGAGTGTCCGATCCATTCCCAGTAGAGTGCTCGTGTCCCCCCTTATTCTGTTGTTTGTTGCTTTCCCGTTTGCATTTCTTTCTTATCCAATTTGTACATTATCATTTTTTCCCTTCTTTTTCTGCTGTTCTACAGCTCTCTTGATTTCTTTCAACCATGCAGTGCTAGACACCCCCATCCCCACCCACCTCACCTACCCCACCTTCTTCCTCATCACTCTACTACCTTTGTTCAAATCATGTCTTTATGTTTTCCTTTACTCTCCGTGAATCTTTAAGCTACAACTACTTTCATCATCATCCTTGTCAGCACCACAACCACAACAACTATCAACCCAAGCAGCAGCAACAGCAGCTAAGCTACTACTATAACGAACAAGAAATTCCCATCCGCTAGCCATGAACGTTACACAAAATGATCAAACCCCACTTCCATCGTTGACACTTGTCGACAAGGTTATCGAGAGCAAATATCAAATATTGGAAGAGCTCGGGCGTGGTTCGTTTGGATATTTGTTTTTGGGACAATCGCTTCGAGACAATTCCTTTGTTGCTATCAAGGCACTTTGCAAATCAGGATTAAATCGCTCGCAATTAGAGTTACAGCGACTGGAAGTGAGCATTCAAACATCACTTGATCATTCCCATCTACTGGCACTTCACGAGACGTGTGAGGATCAAGATCATTTATTTATGATTATGGATCTTTGTGACCAAGGCGACTTGTTTGATTATCGAATGCACAACAAACTTCATGAAGACCAAGTTGTTTCCGTCTTTGTACAAATTCTGGATGCTGTGGGTTACATGCATGATCACCACATATACCATCGCGACCTCAAGTTGGAGAACATTTTACTTGCCACATCCGAAAAAGATGATCCTTTTTACTTGGATGTCAAGGTTGGCGACTTTGGATTGGCTACAAGAGAACGCTTTCATCAAGAAACAGGATGTGGGTCCGTAGGTTATCTCGCACCTGAACATTTCGCCAATGGTATCAATCCGCCGGTGATGGATGCCGCTGCATCCGATGTCTGGAGTTTGGGTATTCTCCTTATCGCTATGCTATTTGGTCGTCAGCCATGGCAAGAAGCCAATCCACAGTCCGATGCCACGTTCCAAGCTTTCCAACGCAACCCACGTATTCTCAAACAAGAACTATTTCCTTCGCTCTCCATGGCCACCTATCGTTTCTTGGTTTCTGTGTTAGTGCAACATCCATCAGATCGACCCATTGATATCGAAGAATTGAAGCAACAGTTTCTTGGCATCGACCATTTATTAGTTCGGAGTGAGGATGATGATGATGCCGAGGATGAGAATGAAACATCATGGCCGGTTGCTATTCCTACGACTGGAGTTGTTCCAAAAGCATATGACCTTAAAGATTCCGCCATCTTTAGCTGCAACACCGATGAATCATGGTCAGATTTGGTGGATGAAGAAGAAGCCCTTTTAATTGAACAATGTAGCAAATCATTAACATTGGATAAAGAAGAACAAGAAATCTTTGTACATGAAGAAGAAATATGGTGGCTTCAATAAAAAAAGATGCATATTCAACAATGAATGAAACGGGTGGTTGTGCCGATTAGATCCATGTCGATCCCTTTTTTCTCTTTTCGTGGCGCTCTTCCGATTTTTGGCAGGATCCAAATTTAGAAATCTAGGAGCGAGTTGTCTCTCTTTTTTTTTCTTTCTTCGTTTCCCTTCAGGCACATTGGCTCCACAAGATGGCATCTGACTTTGCAAGAGAACGATCAAGACTCGACTCATCCTTCGTTTGGTTGGCGCTCTACTTTGTTCTCAACTTGGCATTGACGCTATACAACAAGATCATTCTGTCCGTCTTCCAATTCCCCTTTCCATGGACGCTTACTGCCATTCATACTCTTTGTGGTGCCATCGGTTCCTATACTTTTTGGAAAACGGGCGTCTTTACACCTGCTCAGCTTGGTGACAGAGAAAACTTGACAATGCTCCTCTTTTCGATCCTTTATACGATCAATATTGCTATCAGTAATGTCTCGCTGTAAGTGGTTTCTCTCTTTGTATTCCTTTGAATGGATCAACGTTGACGTCTTTGTGTTTCTTTATGCAGTAATTTGGTCACCGTTCCAGTAAGTAAACCACCTTCATGATGATGTTGATGAGGAAGAGCATGTATTCATATCATATTCATAGTTCCATCAAGTGGTGCGTGCCATGACTCCCGTATTTACCATCATGCTTTCGGTCATGTTTCTTCACAAGTCATATTCATCTATGACCTACATCTCTCTGCTTCCAGTAAGTCTTATTTACTCATTGCTATCATATGAAAGAGGCCCACTTATTCAATGGATGAAATTTAAGGTCGTAGCAGGTGTAGCATTTGCCACATTTGGTGATTATGATTATACAGCCATGGGTTTCTTTTTGACAGTGCTTGGTACTGTACTTGCAGCCGTCAAGACGGTGGTTACCAATCGTGTTCAAGTGGGGCGTCTCAAGCTTCATCCTCTTGATCTCTTACTGCGAATGTCTCCGCTCGCCTTTATCCAAACCATGATCTATTCCTATTTTTCGGGTGAAATGGCTCAAGTGACTGAGTTTTACCACACCAGTTTCAGCACAAGTCTCTTTTTTGCATTGTTGGTGAATGGTATCATTGCCTTCTTTTTGAATGTCGTCAGCTTTACAGCCAACAAGAAAACGAGTGCATTGACCATGACAGTCGCAGGTAAAGGGGGTCATGTGACAGGAATGAAAGAGAGGAAGGGACATTATGGCTAATAGAAAGCGGGATCTAGGCAACGTGAAGCAGGTTCTTTCCATCGTTCTTGCCGTCATCATTTTCAACCTTAACATTTCATGGATGAATGGCTTGGGTATTTTGCTTACACTTGCTGGTGGAGCATGGTACACGTAAGTAGTAATTGTTAAGCAAAAGTAGGCGGTGATCTTATACCCGTTATCATATAGGCATGTGGAAACGGTTGAACGCAACAGGAAACAGGCTGCTGAATCCTTGATGGCGCCATCCAGCAATATTGAATTAACCGGTGTAAAGACCCAGCGATGATCACAACGAATATTACCGTATACAAGCTAGAGAATATCACATCATCTATACACACACACTCACACCCATTACATCCACGCACATTACACACAACATTATACACACACACATGCTGCACCCATATTTATACACGCAACCACCATTCACACGCATACATCCAATCCTCCAATTCTTCCACACACACACCAACACACACGCATGTTTGAACCCCTCCATCAGCATATTAATCAATAAAGAATGTAGATAAAGTGTTTGCATTTATTCCTACGACAGTTATCAAAATCATATAAGCCATGGATAAGGGCGTTACACGAAGTAAAAAAAGACTGCGTTGAAAAAGGAATTGGAGATTTAATCTTGTTCACTTTGATATGGCACCTGTTGACAGATCGAAACAGGCGCTCAGTGTGTATGAACGTATACCTTTTCTTTGGCAATGTCTTTTTCTTCTCCTTCCATACCCATCCTATTACATGGCGGCACATTTATATACACACACACACACATAACATTCAACGTTAGTACACAAGCTGGGAATCAATGAATCCATTTAATGATTTGTTGATGATGCACTTAGTTCTCGTAGATGAGGCTGTGGACGGAGAGGTTGCGTTCGTAGCTGGGGACACCACGGGGGAACCAGAGAGCAATTTCACGCTCGGCAGACTCAACAGAGTCAGAGCCGTGGCAGATGTTGCGGCCTGAAAAAAGAAGAAAACGGGTAAATGCGGGAGAAAAAACGCGACGTGTGTGGGTGTGTGTACTTACCAACATCCAAAGCAAAGTCACCACGGATGGTACCAGGGGCACTGGCCATGGGGTTGGTTTGGCCCAACATGACACGACCGGTCTTGACGGCATCCTTACCAGCCCAGACCATACCAACAACGGGACCGCTACGCATGTATTGGATCAAACCAGGGAAGAAAGGCTTACCAGCCAAGTCCTTGTACTAAATTGATACAACATGGCATGAGTAAAATCGATCTAGAAGTATGATGATGGTGATGATGCTTACGTGTTCCTCAAGGTGTTCTTGGGTGGGGTGGAGCAACTCAAGGGCCATAAGTTGATAGCCACGGTTCTCGAAGCGCTTGATGATTTCACCAACGAGTCCGCGTTGGACACCTGTCAAAAATCAGCTATCATGAAAAACACACGCCACACACACACACACATACCATCGGGCTTGACCATAATGTAAGTGCGTTCCATTTTTGAAGAGTTAAGAGGTATAAAGAAAAGAAAGAGAGAAAACTTTCCCAGCGCCGTTTGGATACGCAAGTAAAATAGAAAAAAAACACAGACGTAAAAACGGAGCTGCAAGGTGGCTCATCGGTTATTCTATTGACCGATATCTGGTATGCATAAAAGAAGTAGGGTTGGGTGGACAACAAGATAAAGCTTATAATGTACGACAGCTATTTGGTATGGTTCAAGGTTCCACAATGATCGCATGTACGTAGATCCTTGCTTGCTTCGAATCGTTCAATGATAGGTTTCAATTGTGTGCCAAGGTCTGTGCAGTGAAACCATTCTTCATATACAATCCTTTTGCAATCTGGGTTTGAGCAATACCATCGCAATGCATCTAACACACATACACAACTTGTCAATAACAGGTGTAGCCTGCCATTTAGATTATCATGTGACTTACCCCGATGATGAGAAAGTCTTACTCGCTCGACAACAATACCGATGGTATCAGCGTATCGCACCGGGTTGTGAGGCGTATTGCCTATTTTTGCCACATTAGTCATTATTATACTATGAACTGCTCAGTCAGCCATTTTACCAGGTAATAAGAACATTTCGCCTTCGCCAACATTTATATCACGAAATTCACCATCATCGACGACTTTGAGTGTCATGTTGCCTTTGATCTGATAAAACCATTCCTAATAGTAGTAGTAGTAGATGATGATGATGGGTCATTATTAGCGGGATGATCTCTTTCTCTTTCTCTCCGCAAAAACTATTTAAGACCCTAACCTCCGTTTCGTTGATATGATAATCCGTTCGCCGATTAGGCCCGCCAACAACCATCACTGTGGTATCCTTGCCTTGGAACAATAAAAAGTTGTTGACAGGTGGTTGGAGTTTATCTCCGTTTTCTTCAAGCCATTTGTTAAAGTTCAAAGAAAGTGGTAGCATTGTATGGATTGTAGATGATGGCAAGAAGGTGAAAAAGGGATAGGACAAACACGAAAATGGGGCAAGAAAGAAAGAGAGAAAGAGATGAGTAAAGCAAGATCTTGGAAATTGAACCGAAGTGGTTGTGCCGTGACCGCCATCAATTGACGCATCGTTTGTTACACCATATCTTACTTCGGGCTTTACCATGGTACGTACCAGGTGGTCGGCTGCATGATGACCGTCATCATGATGATGCAGCAGCAGCAGATCACGTCTTCTCCTATGTGTTTCATCCTATGCATGATTTTAAGGTTAACATAGCTATTTAAAGAATCACAATTTTCTCATCAATGTTTTATTACCATCGGGCAGGTCTCACATGATGGATCAGAAAAAAAAGCTTTATTAGAGCATTGAGGAGGCGTGGTGGTGGTGGTGGTGTCATGCCATTAAAAGCTAAGATAAGAAAAGTGGTGCGTGTGTGTGCGTGTGTGTGTGTGTGTGTAGCAAGGCGCCATAACATGGATGCTTTTGTATCAACAAAAAGTGGTCAGGGTTGTCAAATGAGTCATCGAGCTGAAAATGATAAGGTAAGCTACATGTGTGTGTGTGTGTGTGTGGATCCGACTGATATCAATTGGGAGGATAAGACCTTACCCGCCTTTTCTTTTTCTTCCACTTGTTCCTGAATACCCACAATGCCTGAATTGGATGAATCGTTACGCATTCTACCCCTTTTATCAAAAGACCTACCTCAATCGGGCTTCGATCGTATCATCCATGTGACCCATCAGCTGCCATTCGAGATTTCAAGGACGGACAACAACAACAACCACCATTGGTCTTTTGCACCGCGTCGTGGTCATGGTGCCATGTATGCAGGCATCGAATCGCTCAAGAATGAGTGGAAGTCGATACACATTGGCTGGACAGGCGAGATTCATGGACGGCCTGACGCTGAGGCGAACAACAAGACAACGCTCGAGCTTGCACACGATGATAAGGAACGCTTGGCCAAGGATTTGGAAGAGGCCCATGGCTGCATCCCCCTGTATCTTGATAGCGAAAGCGTGGCAGGGCATTACGATGGTTACTGCAAAACAAGTAGGTTCTTGGTGTGTGTGTGTGTGTGTGTGCATATATGGGATCAAATGCTGATGGTGGATGTACTAGTGCTTTGGCCTCTTTTTCATTACTTGATATGGAACGATGCAACTGATGGTCGTCTTGAACGCAAACAATGGGAGGCTTATGCTATGGTCAATCAAAAATATGCAGACCTTGTATGCCAACATTATCGTGAAGGAGATATCAGTAAGTGGGAAAAAGGGACATGGCAAGGGGGAAATGTATACTCACAATGACAATTTAGTTTGGGTGCATGATTATCATTTGCTATTGGTCCCTGGCATGGTTCGTGAAAAACTGCCAAAGGCAAGGATAGGCCTATTCATCCATGCTCCATTTCCTAGTTCCGAAATCTTTCGATGCTTACCAAGTAAGTCATTCTTCTTCTACTACTTCAAGATGGATTGCCTGTATACTAAATGATGATTCTAGAACGGCAGGAGATTCTAAAGGGAATGCTTGGTGCAAATCTTGTTGGCTTCCAGGTAAGGAATTTGAATCAACCACGTCAACAAGCCTCTCACCTCCTCCTCCTCCTTTATAGACTTATTCTTATGCACGCCATTTTATTTCAACATGCACCCGCATATTTGGATATGAATCAAATCCGGACGGTGTCGAAGAAGAGGATCACTTTTGTCACGTGGGCACATTCCCCATTGGAATTGATGTGGATCGAGTGGAGACGATGCGGAAGGACAAGGACGTTCAATACAAGATGAAGGCGATTGCTGATATGTATACTGGCAAAAAGATCATTGTGGGACGTGACAAGCTGGACCTTGTTAAGGGCGTACTTCAAAAATTGGCAGCCTTTGAAAAGTTCCTAATGGATTACCCTGAATGGAGAGACCAAGTATGTTGTTTTTATGGATGTACAAAGAAAACAAGGTTGCATCATTAACACGCATTATCTCCTTCTTTACCAGGTAGTCTTGATCCAGGTGACGGATGGTAGCACAACCGAATCTGCCAAGCTAGAGAATAAGGTCTCCGAGATTGTTGCACATATCAATGGCACTTATGGATCACTTGAATTCACGCCTGTACACCATTATCATCACCAAGTACAACCCGACGACCTTTATGCACTCTTGTCAATAGCGGATGCGGCCTTGATTACAGCTGTACGTGATGGCATGAACACAACGAGCTTGGAATACGTCATATGTCAACAAGAAAAGCACGGGCCACTTATCTTGTCGGAATTTACCGGCACTGCCGGTTCAATGAGCTCAGCGCTTATGGTGAATCCCTGGGATTATGCAGGTCTTGCCAAAGCTATCAATGATGCACTACTCATGTCCGAAGAAGATAAGCTCTCTCGTCACTTGGTATGTTACACGTTATTTGCTGTCGTCTCAATAGGATGCTAAGTCTATTTATTAGCAATTGCTAGACCACGTCAAATCCCATACTGCTTCCTTTTGGGCACATTCATTCATCAAGTTATTGGTGCAATCCATTGCAAGCTCCGAACAAACAAGCAACACGCCCGTTTTGCGAATGGATTATCTCTTGCCAGCATACCAACAATCAAAACGACGCTTACTTTGCTTTGACTATGATGTAACTATTTTCCCTCTCGATGCATACACCTTTTACAACATACTAAGTACGCTATTTAGGGCACATTGACACCGATTTGTAAAACACCATCGGCTGCAGTCCCACCACCTGATATGCTTCGTGCCCTTGAGAAGCTGTGTCAGGATCCAAGGAACGACGTTTGGGTCATTTCAGGTCGTGATGAAACAGCATTGGATCGATGGTTGGGTCACATTGATGGTATTGGTCTCAGCGCAGAGCACGGGTGCTTTATCAAGTATCCACGCAGCGACAAATGGATCAATCTGACAGAGCACGTTGACATGGGCTGGAAGCATGATGTCATTGATATCTTCACCTATTATACTGAACGCACTACGGGCAGCTTCATTGAGCATAAACGATGTTCAATCACATGGCATTATCGACTAGCTGATCCTGAATACGGCGCATTCCAAGCCAAGGAGTGCCAAAATCATTTGGAAAATGCTATTCTCTCAAAATTGCCAGTGGAGGTCCTTGTTGGCAAAAAGAATCTTGAAGTACGACCGACATCAATCAACAAGGGAGAGGTTGTCAATCGACTCTTGGCAGCCCATCATTATGACTTTGTTATGTGCTGTGGTGATGATAAGACGGATGAGGACATGTTCAAGAAGCTTCGCAAGGCTCAAAATCTGACGGATGATCAAATCTTTTCGGTGATGGTTGGATCGGAAGACAAAAAGACGCGAGCATTGTGGCGGTTACAAAATGTTCAAGAAGTTATTGACACGATTGCACGTATGGCTGATTCCTCTTGTTGATTGATGGATGATGAGGATATTGTACTATAGCAGCAACATACTTTAAAAAGTTCCCGATCCCCATTCGGAAGATTGTCTTTATATACCGCTTTTTTTATTGTATTTCAAATCCAACGTACTATGTGCAAACATGGCATACGCAACGATCCATCGAACCAACGTGCCATTCGTTCTATTACTCTTTCCTTGTTTTCTCCCTTTCTCTCCCCCCTGTATGATTTCCACGTAAGGACAAGCTGTGAGTGTGAGACTGGGTGTGTGTGTGTGTGAGAGAGAGCGTGTGCGTGTGTGTGTTCTATGCGAGTGGTTTCTTAATCAACATTTACAAAGGAAAAAAGAGAGACCCGCCTCTTTTGATATTGGATTTCCCCTTTTCTTAAATACATCAACCTTGCCCACCCGATGCCGTCGGAAAATAGACCATCATCATCATCACCACCCCAACAACAGCAGCAGCAACCACAACAGCAGCAGCAGCAACCACAACAACCACAACCACAACACCCAATAGAACAACAATCCAATTCACATGACAATCTTCACGTCGACACATCGCTTCCAGAAACATCCACGCCATCATTCAACGACAATGAAAAGTCTCAACCATTGTATGAAAGACCACGCTATCTGACAGTGCCATTGACTGGCAAAGGAGATGATGAAGATGATGACATTGCAAAACAAAAACAAAAGCATATGGGAAGATATCAACGTCGATCACGGTTGCCAGGATGCTGGGTGCTTGCAAGTTGGGTCATGACTTGGTGGATACCCACGCCATTAATGCGACTTGCAGGTAGATTACATACATACATGTGTAGTACGACGACTGATGGTCCTCTTCTTTTGTAAAGGCATCAAGGATAAATATTCTCAACAAGCTTGGCGAGAAAAGGTTACTTTGGTGATGATCATTGTCGTCTTGTGCTTTGCGGTGGGTTTTCTTACGTTTGGTTTCAATGCAACTATTTGTGGACGTCAACCTACACGTATACGACCCACGGGCGTGAACGAGGATCAGATTATTATCTCTGGACGTGTCTTTAATGTGAATTCGTTTCAACATGCTACACCCTATCCTGGTATCCCTGGTAGTGGCGATCTCTTGGAGATGGGTTATGGTGGTCGTGATCTTTCATTCATGTTCCAAACCGTCAACTATCACTGCAAAGGCATCTTTCAACCAATTCAACCTGATGATCCACAAGGCAACGTCATCAACTATTTTCCATGTGTTCCTTTCGACCGCAACAACCCCCGAATCAACGGCACCGATAATCCAAAACGTGATGGTTGCCATGTTAGTTCAAAGTCTCGACGCGCTTTGAGGAAATTACATGTTGCCGGTGACATCTACTACAATTGGACCGATATTCAGAAACCTGGCACGAGTCTGGTAGCATTCAATGGGTAAGTACATAAATGCTTGAGAATCCGCATCAATGGGTTGACACACCTTTTATAGCAATGTTCTCGATTTATCACGCTTGAATTATCTCACACCCAATATACCTTTGCCTATGGAAATTGCACAAATCTTTGGACCTGGGAGCGCATTCATTGGCCGAGATGCAACGTATTGGCTTAGTACAACAGCTGACAGACTTATTATTGGGAAATGCCTCACCGATATTCTCAAAGTGGGTGTCCTTGATACACGATCCACAGGCTGTATCATTTCGGACATTGTGCTTTGGGTGTCATTGACCGTCATTTTGGGTGTGGTGTTGATCCGTTTCTTTTTGGCATTGATATTCGGATGGTTCATATCATGGAAGATTGGCAGCATTCGAGAAGAAACAGCAGAGGAACGAAGGCAACGACAAGAAGCTGTGGCACAATGGGAAATGGATAACGCCGAACACATGCATTATCAACGACGACAAAGTATCTCATCTATGGAAGACATCCCTGGATCCTCTTCTACTACAACCACCCATCATATGGGTCATCAAGATTATTATGGTGGATTGAATAACAACAGCGTAGGCTCGATGCGATCAGCTAGCAACAAGCCTATGCGTCGATTTTTCCCAACCACGTCTCGATTTACGCAACCATCTCCACGCAACAATAGCAGCATGTCCTTTTTCCCTGCTGGAAGTGCAAGCACAGAATCCATGATGATGGCAACACCCAAAAGCTTCAGCCGCCGCTCTGTCATGTCGCCCGCTGTTGGATCTGCTCAACATGATAACAATTACGTGCTTGACTCTGAATTCTTTTCTGAACTCCAATCAACAGGACGACTTCAGAGAGATGCACAAGCCGATGCCATGGCACAGCAAGAGCATCGATTCAATTTTGATTTATTGTACACGTTTATGGTGGTCACATGCTATTCGGAAGGCGAGGATGGATTACGTACGACGCTTGATTCACTAGCCAATACCGAGTACCCATCTACACATAAGGTGCTGCTTGTGATTTGCGATGGCATCATTACCGGTTCGGGAAACACCATGTCGACCCCTGATATTGCATTGAGTATGATGAAGGATGATCTTATCCCACGTGATCGTGTACGCCCTGTATCCTATGTCGCCATTGCCGATGGCACCAAACGTCACAATATGGCCAAAGTCTATGCGGGGTATTACAAGTACAATGAGGATCCAGAAAAGACACCAGCACCTATACCAGTAGAGGAACAGCAACGTGTGCCTATGATTGTTATTGCAAAGTGCGGTACGCCAGCTGAGAAGAAGGAAAAGAAACCTGGCAACCGTGGCAAGCGTGATAGCCAAGTCATTCTCATGAATACCATGCAAAAGATTTTTTATCAAGATCGCATGTGTGAGCTCGAATTCCAATTTTGTAAGGCGGTGGCCAAACTCGTGGATCGTCATCCGGCTCGTTTCCAATGTTGTTTGATGGCAAGTGTTTTGAGTCCTCTGTATGAGCGTGTTGACTTATTAAACAAATGTATAGGTGGATGCAGATACCAAGGTATATCCAGATTCCCTTGCACGCATGGTAGCTACCATGTCAAGGGATCCTACCATCATGGGTTTATGTGGAGAGACAAGGATTGCCAATAAGGCGGATAGCTGGGTCACTTCGATTCAAGGTATGTAAGGAAGGATTCATGACATGGGGTCGTCAAAGTAGAAAGATGTTCACACCCACCCACCCACCATGGTAGTGTTTGAATATTACATCTCACATCACATGAGCAAGGCATTCGAATCCATCTTTGGAGGTGTCACGTGTTTACCTGGATGTTTTTGCATGTATCGGATCATTGCACCCAAGAATGGACAATACGTACCCATTATCTGTTCCACGGATATTGTCGAGAGCTATTGTGAGAATGTGGTTGATACCCTACACAAAAAGAACCTTTTGCTCCTGGGCGAGGATCGTTATTTGACAACGTTAATGCTGCGTACGTTCCCTAAACGTAAAATGGTATTTGTGCCACAAGCGGTGAGTCTACTACTACATCATCATTCACCGTGATTTACTAACATGTATGTATGCAGGTATGCAAAACAGTGGTCCCCGATACGTTTAGCGTGCTGCTTTCACAACGACGACGATGGATCAATTCTACGGTACACAATCTTATGGAATTGGTGCTCATTCGTGATTTATGTGGTACCTTTTGCTTTTCGATGCAATTTGTGGTGTTCATGGAACTTGTTGGTACCGTGGTACTCCCAGCTGCCATTTCATTCACGCTTTACTTGATCATCATCTCCTTCTTTGTCACGCCTGTACCCATTATCCCATTGTTGCTGTTGGCTGCTATTCTCGGCTTACCCGCTGTTTTGATTTCTTTGACGACACGCAAAATGGTCTACGTGGGATGGATGTGCGTTTACCTTTTCTCTCTACCGATATGGAATTTCCTGCTACCGGCATATGCTTACTGGAACTTTGATGATTTTTCATGGGGAGAAACACGACGTGTGGAAGGTGCTGTCAAGGGCCAACAAGAAGACCATGGACGACGAGAAGGGAAGTTTGACGGCAAAGAGATCGTCATGCGTAAGTTTGATGAATGGGCCATGCATGATAGGCGAGCCATGGAAGAACAAGCAAATAGTAGTACGCATGTTAGGAATTATCCTGCGATTTATTATGGCCATTAAAGAGATACTAGCAATGTTGGAATAATGAAAGTTGTTTTGTATGTACTTGGAGGGATGCTTTTTATTACAACAATGATGATGCCACACCATGAAACGTACTCATTGTGTAGACAATATTGCAGGTTCACGCACTTGTTGTTTATTGCTTTCTTCATCTTCTGTTTTAAAGTAAAGGTGTGGAGGGATCAGCATGGCTGAGTCCAGAGAATACCAAGGTGGCCCATGTATGTATGCATGACAAGTTTCATTTGCATGGTAAGCTGGAAATCTGTGAATTTGCTGGGTGTGCTACGTTCATTCCACCTACAGTATCTCTTTTATCACCCTGTTTGTCATTGAATGCAAGATCCATCGCCCTCGGACAAGATCAACCCCTCCATCCAACACAATTCAATGTTATCAGACTCTACCTTAGCCTCTGCTCAAAATGACTCGGTCAATGAACGTTCTCCTAAGCGCCAGAGGATCGATGAGCCGTCTTCTACTCGTGAGTTGTCAAAAACCCGTTACAAAAATAGCATACTGATATTGTTTTTCTTGAAGCAGCAGCCGACTTGAGCAATGTCGAAGAGAACGTTGGTGCAATGGAATCAGACAGCTCGCAAATCGATATTGGTGGTGGTGGTGGTAGCAGCAATACGAGCGACGTACAACAACAACAACAGCAGCGACCTTCTACAGAAGAAAACCCCACCTTTTGTGATCAAGACTTTGATGATGACGATGATGATGAATCCGACGAGGATTGGGCAGATGGTGCAAACCACGACGAGGACAATGATGGCAGCAGCAGCAGTGATGAAAGTGAAAGCAGCAATTATGAACTTATCACGCCCGCTGGTATTCCAGAAGATGATGAGAATGAGGAATTTGAGTACCGTAAGTGATTGTTTTATGGATGATAGGTATCATGAGGCTAAAGGTCATTTGTAGCATGGACGAGCTTTACGCAGGAGGAGAGCGATGCTTTGCAAGATGAAGTGAAGGAAATCGGCTTGGTGAAGTTTATGGAAAAATATCTCTTGAATCAACAAGTACCCCCTCTCAAGCTTATGGAAGCATTCAATGTGGTTATGGTATGTGTGTATAAGCGTCATTACGTACACGTGGTGACTTATGTGGTTGTACAGCATCCAGGGGCAGCGTTGGCATTAAGTGAACTTCAGCAATGTGCCATTCTACGCCAAGTGATCAATCGTCATTTACGCAAAAGAAATCGATTGGAGCATGTCAATACGTTGGAAGATGTTGTCAGTTTGCTGGCCAAAGCCAACAATGTCATGATTGTTACTGGTGCAGGCGTATCCGTATCGTGTGGCATCCCTGATTTCCGTTCAGAAACCGGCATCTATTCTCGCCTACAAGAATTCGAGCTTGATGATCCCCAACAAATGTTCGACATCAAGTATTTCCGAGAGAACCCACAGATCTTTTATTCCTTCGCCAAAGAGTTGTATCCAAGCAATTACGAACCCAGCCCAAGTCATTTGTTCGTAAAGTTGATGGAAGAGAAGGGCAAGCTTTTGAGGAATTATACGCAAAATATCGACACCCTCGAGCACAAGGCCAATATCAAACGCATTGTCAATTGTCATGGTAGCTTTGCCACAGCCAGCTGTGTGACATGTGGATACAAGTGTGATGGAAAGGAAATCGAACAATACATTTTCCAACAGGTAAAAGGAGAAAGTGTGTGAAGGAAGGGTGATTACCCAAGAGGAGAGGTATGCTGATTGGTATGTATCTTTATATCTTTAGAAAGTTCCTCCATGCCCGAAATGTGCAGTAGAAGATGCTGACAATGCTCTGAACAAGCCTCGAAAGGATGATGATGACGATGATGATGATGATGGTCGTCCAAAACATCAAGGCATATCGGTGATGAAACCTGTAAGTACGAAGATGGTATTCAATCAAGTGAAAAGATACTTACGATTCTATTTTTGAAGGATATCACGTTCTTTGGGGAGAGCCTGCCAGCTGAATTTGACCGATTATTGGCCCTCGATACCGAAGTAGTGGATTTGTTAATAGTGATGGGCTCGTCACTCAAGGTATCGCCTGTATCAGAAATCATGTCACAAATTCCACACAGCGTGCCACAAATCCTCATCAACCGAACACCCATCACCCATATGACCTTTGATATGCAATTGCTAGGCGACTGCGATGTCATTGTGCCCGAACTCTGCCGAATGCTTGGATGGGATTTACGTCATGAAAAGTTACCAGGAGGCAGTGCCCAAAGTGATGAGAGTTTGCGTCAAAGCAAAGAGGACGGCGATGGCGATTGGGTCGAGATTGTGGATCCCGTGACAAAGGAGCTTAAACACAAGGAAAAAAAGATATGGCGATTCCGGCGAGATGGCCTTTATACTTTCCCTGGTGCTGTCGTAAGCGATCGGTACCTCGAGCAATCTAGGTAAGCCTGTGTATGTATGTTTGGGTCCCCAATGATTCATATTGAATGTTATCTATCAAGCTCGGGAGCACATGTATCATCGTCATCATCCGAGAGTGAAGGTGAGTCGGACAATGACAACAATCAACCAAGTGAACAACAAGAAGAACAAGTTGCATCAACCTCTGAAGAATCGGGACAACCAGAGACAGCATCCAACCTTAATGATAACAACAATAGCACTATCTCGTAAAAATTTCTAATTGAATTTGAATGCATTTGCTTTTATTACTACATCACTTTTGTTCGCATCCACATTTTGTACATCTACTACTACTATTACTACATACTGTTTAATGAAAATCTCGTTGTTGTAATATTGACGTTGCTAGGTGAATACAATCCCCCCTTGTTACGAAAGACATCACGCACACACGTTTTATCATGTTTACAGCCTGCTATGCATGTCAACTTTGAGGAATGGGAACACAATCAAGGGGCGCATGATCTCTCTACAGGCTCTAGAACACATAGCCATCCCACCCGTTATCCTTCTTTCTTCTTTTTACCCCAACAATGCAGCCCTACGATGACCGACAAACCTTTTTGTTGCCTCGCCCTTGTTGGGTGAATGACACTGATGTGTCTCATTGCACGCAATGCAACACTTGCTTTGGACCCTTACGACGTCGCGTAGGTGGTGACATTTCCAATGACAACTACACTTTGAAGCTCAACCTGGTCTTCTTTTTCTTTTTATTGCTCCTTGGTTCTAGCACCATTGCCGACATTGGTGAGTTGGGTTTTACGAGTAGGCGATATTGGTTGCTGATATGCTTTGATTTCTGGCAAGTGGACATATCTTTTGCCACGACTGTTCGTCCCGAAGCGTCCCATTACCGCAGCTTGGTTACGGCACAAAGCCCGTCAGAGTTTGCAAAGGTTGCTTTGATGTTGCCTATCTTGTCACTTATGCTATTGACGACGATCACGGATTACCCACTCAGGTAAGGTACACAGCAGCAGCAGATCGATAGATAGCTTTATTTGACATTTCTTTTGTTTTCCTTGTTCACTACCTCCAGATCCATGGCACGCGAGGGTTACTTGAAATCGTCGAAAAAGGCAACGGTGAGTCTTATCATATAGCAGTATCAAACAACCAATGCTGACGTATACATACGTAGAAATTGATATCCAAAATGTGATCATGTATGGTGGCATCGATGCTCTGATTTGGTTGTGCCGAACGTCTACAAGTATTCAGATCCATCACCTGACAACCACCATTTTGGCCATGTTGTCTGAAAGAGGTAATATGATGATGATTCATGCATCGATGAGATGGAGGAGGACCATGATCTTGAATGTATATTTCCCTTATCCAACAGAGGCTGTACGACCTGTGATGGTTACAAAGTGGGCACTCCCTTCACTGCTACACCTTATCGAACACAACATTTACCATGACCAGAACAAGAATAAGGCCAATGAACATGGAATTCAGCAACAACAACAACAACAGCGAGAAATGGCGTTGGAGATTGTAATCAACTGCATCCATGTATTTTTTCACATGGCACGTGCTGGAATTCTCACCTATAGCGTAGTTATGGAAGACGGCATCTTGGCGACATTGGTGACACTTTCAGGATTCGAACCACCTAGAGCATGTGAGGAGGATGTGGAGGATCAAAGTCGGTTAACGGAACGAGGAGACATCATCCAAGCATTGGCAGCAAAGACTTTATCAGCGGTGAGTGGACAAGGTATGCAACAAGAAGGGGAAGGATCACTTTACAACACATTATTGGGAGAGATCTCACCCCAACAATATCTGCGTAGTGGCATTTCAGGCTGGCATGATTGAATGGGTTCACAACAATGATAAATTCGCATCTCTTTTCCGATCCACCAATGGCGAAGTGCGCAAATACATGACCAAAAGCATCGCTTATCTATCTCTAAGAAATGGTAAGGTATTATCTTGAGAATGTTGAACCACTATTGGGGTTGACATCCATGTGACCTTAGATAAGCGCAAATCGACATTGCTATCGGAGAATGTGGCCCGTGCGCTTGTGTCCACCATTGCATTGTTACCACAGCACCAAGGCCAGCATCCTGAACAACGTCGATATGATCTCAACCACTACTTGACCAAGAATGTGGATGGCGAAGAAGAAAAGGCGATTCAGCCTTATCTACCACCGAATCCATCTACGATTTCACATGCATGCTGTGCTCTTGCCAATTTTGCTACCAGCCGTGAGTATCCTATGTATACGATTGAAGGGAGGGTAAGAGCCTGATTTTGAGTTTTTTTTTTTATGTAGAGGACTCGCAGGTCAAATTGATAGCCCAGCCACGCCTCCTTCGATACCTATGTAATGTACCCGCTGCTATCCCAGGTCACGTGGAGATCTATCGCCATATCACACGCTGTCTCGCCAATTTAGCACTTTATGGTCAGCATACACACATACGTACCTATTTGCAAGCTGATACTAATAACCATAACGATGCCCTTATAGAAGAAAACCATGGATTGATGCTTGGTTACTGTGATGACTACGAACACCGATACAATGTACTACCGACATTGAGGAGCATCATTGAGGAGCAAACTATCACACAAGATGTTCGACGACATGTCATTCGAGCTATGGATAATTTGACATCACCGGGTGGGTAACACACACACACACATACACGACACAATCAACGTTCATTATTGGCTAATCATTTTAAAATAGAGAATCATGATCGCCATAGCAACAAGCCGTCATGGAACGAATTATTGGGCGCCGACATCCAACACTTTATCGCACGCATTCTTGCCGAAATGGATGATCAAGATACACTTCGACGTGCTCAGCATATTCAAGAACGAGTTACCCATGGCTAGCCCATCATTGATATCTTTATATACAAACATTGAAAATCCAAAAGTACGGTTGACGACTATATACTATTACTAGCTGGGGGTGGTAGTGCTTATGGGTTGTTGTTGGCTGTTGTTGTTGTTGTTGCTTCTTTCTAATGGCTGTTTTGTTGGGTGGTGGTCTTCTTTTTTTCGTTTACGATCAGGTTCTTCTTCTTCTGGGGATATGGGCTGTATAGTGGAAGAGCGTATGCCACGAGCATGTATGTCATCGTGTTGGTGGATGGGTGATGATGTATTCAGCTGCATGGACAATGTTCGTTTTCGAGGTGGTTGAGGAACAGGTGAAGTTGGGCAAGTTTTATACATATCATTTTCAGTAGTGGGCGCTGGTTGTGGTGGTGGTGGTGGTGCTGCTATCGGTAATTGTGGGATGGATGTGGGTTCTTGTGCACCTTGTGTGTGAGGTGGTTGACATGTTGTTGGGTGCTGTTGCTGCTGCTGCTGATAGCTATGTATATAAGATGGCGGTGTTGGAGAAGCTGATCCACGTGTGCTGCTCTGAAATTGATAGGGGTTACTAATATCTTGAGCCTGTGGTGGTTTGCTTTCCCTGTATAAAACAATGAAAACCATGAGCTTTCCCCCTATTTCAACGGCTTTTTACAATGAATGATGATACCCTTTCTTTCCGCTTCGAAGATACTCGATACGCTCTCGAATGTGGGGATTAGCGGTATCCAGCTGTGCTGCACGTTGGTAGGCATCTAATGCATCTTGCACTTGGTTGTTGCTTGCTTCATACAAAGTTCCTAAATTGTACCACACTTCGCTCATGTAGGGAGCAAGACGAATAGCACGGTTGTAAGCATCTAATGCATCCCGATACTGTGGCGCCACCCAACACGTGTATGAAATCAGTATACTACGTCGTACAATTGCATCCCATTTTTGCAGCAAACCTGGTTGATTCGATAATAGAGAACACCAATAGAGCACCAAAAAGCAGGATTTCGAGCATCGCGGTAAACAGCTTGTTGATACGCTTCATAAGCCTTGTTATAGTTTTGCTCAGCAATGTAACATCGACCTAGCAAATACCATGATTGTGCATCATTGCTATCTGATTTGAGTGAGCGGGTGAGATAGTCTATTGCGCTGGCACCACTTGAAAATGACGTATCAGGTTGATGAAACAGCCACCCATACTGCTGCAGCACTTTGGCATCTTCGGGCTTGTGCGTCAAGACGCGTTCATAGGCTTCCTTGGCACGTTCAAATTCTCCTTGTTGCTCGTATACATGTCCCATTTGATACCAGATGTCGACTTGTGTCAAGGGTTGTGGTGGGTTGGCAAGAATGTAACGAAAGCACTAACAACGACGCCATTCATTAAAAGACCATGAACCCTCCTCGATTACAACATACCTGTAATGACAAGTCATATTTCTGTTGTTGCTTGTAAATGATACCCAATCGAAAATAAATCTCGTTGACCTTTTCAAAGCTATTGTCCATGTGGATCACCGCCGAGAATGCTTCTTCGGCGTATTCAAGCGACCCGTATCGATCATAAAGGATACCGATCCCATACCAAAGTTTGGGGTCCTTTTTGAGAAAACACCATATTTGCGTGAGAGACACAAAGGACGCCTGATACACATATATAAAACTTCTTTCAAGATACCTTTGGATTAGGCAAACATGAAAGGGCTTGTTGATAGGCGTGGTAGGCTTCGCCGAGATTTTCCATCATTAAATGACAATGGCCAAGGGCACTCCATGTTTCACCATGGTTCTCATCGATGGTGAGTACACGCTTAAAGTACTTGACAGCCTATGTAACGCAATATTGAGTCACCCACCATCGGGATTACGGGTGCTTTTTACCTGATCAAGTTGGTCTTGGTCACGATAGAGAGATGCAAGCCGAGATAACGCGTTGACGGAATCTGCATTGTGTTTCAGGGCTTCCTTGTAGAAATTAATGGCTCGTGTGGTTGCACGCGGCATCATTTCCGCCAGATTCCCTTACATAAAGTTCAGTTTGTTTATTGATGCCGTCTTTCAATAACACACACACACACACATGCACCCAAACACGCACTTTTTCTCCTCCTCCTCCTTCCCCCCAACCACCCTTCTTCTCCTGATTTTTGCATCATGCTTTCTTCCTCTCTCACCTAGTGTGGTCCATGCTCTCTCATTTGCAAGACGCAGTTGTTCCATGGTCGTTGATGATGATGACGATGGTGTTAGTGATGATGATGAATGATGGATCGATCGATGAACTTGAGAGCTCATTGTTGTTGTTGATGATGGATAAAATAAAAACGTCGTCGTGGTATAGGTTGATGAGGGAGGTGATGTTTCGAAAGAGGGTAGTGGAAAAAGAGAGTGAAAGAGCAACTTTTGAAATATGTGAGTTTAAAGATAACTCACAAAAGGATGAGAGTGTGAGAAATGTTTTGTATGTAAATCCTGAGCACACATGTTTGACAATCTCGGGTTGTGTTTTTCTGGTTTAGCCGGATCGATCATTTCCTCTTTTGTTTTGTAACGTTGTTATAAGAAAAAAGTACTCGACATAAATACAAGTTGGGATGCAAAATGAAAGGTATGTTACGATTAGATACAAGAAGATACAAGTGTATAAAGGGTACTAAAGGTGATTATGTGGTGGTTGATTTAACGCGTCTATGCCGATGCCCACTCCCGCCGCTGCCGCCGCCACTGCCAAGTGCAACAGCCACGCTGTCAGGATTGTCCAAGTAGGATGATGTGTCGGTGTAACCACCGAGTCGTGAGAACTCAGCCGCCCTTGTGTTCATTGCAATAGGTGGATCTCCCAAATGGCTGGCTTTTGTTGCATAGGTTGATGCAAGATAAGGGTTTTTTGATGGATACAAGGTGGAACGGTTGTTGTTGTTGGCTAAAGGAGAAACAGCATTGTTGCCTGAAATGGGTTGAAGCTCCCAAGCCTCTTGTCTTGTTGATGGTGGTGGTGAAGAGGTTGCGAATATGGAAGGTGTAATAGTAGTAGTGGTGTTGTTGTCGTTTGCTGTACGTGCGTTGCTATGCAACGATTGAAATAACGATGATGGTTGTTCCTGATCATGAAACGAACTTCCCGTATGACTATGTCGCCTTCTCGCTCTGCTGTCATTATTGCCATCGTCACCAAAGACAACCACGCTATGCACAGTGGATGGTGGGCGTGAATCTTTATCTTTGGCGGTTGCCAGCCGACTGCGCCGATGACGACGTACAAGGAACCATGCAAGCCATCCAAGAAGGGCCACAATGATAAGACTTCCAAAGAGAAAAACAGGGATGGCAATTTGTTTGTTCTGGGCTACCCAAGCTTTGAGCGTATTTACTAGAAAATTGACGTTAAAAACCATCCATAACAATAACAACCGATCAGCAAAAACTTACATGCACCTGTGCTTACACAGTTACCCTTTTCACAAAAGCTTGCCAATCCACACTCTGTGCCATCCAAAAACACGCCACTCAGCACAAGACAATTTCCTGGGTCTGTTGGATCCGCACAACTAATTTGGCACGAGTCATGTTGAAACGAGCAGTCCTCGGTGACGCCAAGTCGCATACCACGCGCTATGCATTGTTCATCACGCGATGTACAAACACCTGAGGCACATTGCATTGTGTTGTTGCCACAGGGTGATCCATTCTCTTCCACTTGATCAGGAGGGCAAGAAAAGGATTCCCCCGTACAGTATTCCGGTATATCACATTCCGATACTGCCGGTCGACACACCGTTGCCGCCGTTGCCATGGTACAATTCAAACAACATTGTTGGCTATAATCACTATTTAATCATAGCATCGGGTTAGCTTATCGTATTTGGGAAAAACCTACAGTGATCGATCGACTACTACTTACTCGCATTTTGCACCCGATTTCAATGTACAATTTTTGGCATGGCAGCATGCACTATCGGTCAATCCAGAATCGCATTCCTCCCCTGGTTCCAAAATGCCATTTCCACAAAGCGTGAAGGATGTCGTATCACGCAAATCGGGTGCTATCAACATCATGGTAAGTACACATGCTACCACTACTAGCAGGGGTAAACATACATTTTAGGCAATACCCGATATTGGGAAACGACCCACATATATCCGAAATCGAACAAGGACTAAAATCTTCGCTGGTGACATTGCTTGTAGGGTTCATCAAATACGTATCGCCAGCGCTACATGTATCATCGCTGAGGGGACAACAACTGCATCCAGATGATGTGCAGGGACACGTCTGTGCGGTACAATCATGTATAGCCCCTATGTTATGAAACGATATCAATAAACAGAGGTACTTACAGAAAAAGGAAAACATACCAAAGCCATGTCCCACTTCATGGGCCACCACCTTCCATTCATCTCGGGTAATGGATGACACTCCCGTTCCGGAAACCCATTCCGATGCGCCATTTTCTAAAACAAACATTTAATTCTCACTGCTTATGGGATCATCTCCTTTTTTTTACATACCTTCAATCTGTTGTGAGACTTGGGTTTCACAAAGTTGACTCAACCACGCAATCCCAACCTTGACGCCAGTCCTAATAAAGCGAGGAGGATGAATACCGCTTTGTGTTTGTAAATGTGTCATTGTCAATGTACTACTCACGAGCATTTTGTCATGAGATGCCATAGAGCTGCACCATCGTCACCACGTTTTCCACGCCATAAGCTGAAATCCGATAGTCGATCATTGATGGTATAAAAAGAAGAGCATTTTTGATTCCATGCTGCTGAATGACTTGGATGACGAGGACAATCGGCTGTTGACATTTGAATATAAATCAATCCAAGGGAAACGTTAAAGGTGCGTTCATACACAGCCGATGCAATATTCCAGTTGTTCAATATCTGTAATCGAGCAAGTCGAATGCTTCCATAGGACTGCACATAGGTACAATCAGCAACCACGCCCATGTAAGCGATACGTCGCGTCGAGGGGCATCCATTTGTGTTGGGTGTCATTGACATGGCTCGTTTCATCATCATGTGATCAGGATCGATAGGCGTTGCACTTGACAATGAGTTGTTGCTATGCCGTATACCCGTAAGGAGCTGATTGAATTCCATATCTTCCATGGCACACATAAAATCGTTACTGCTACTGCTGTTGTTGCCATGTTTTCGAAAAGGCTTGGCGCGTTTGTCAAATAGGGATGATGATGATGATGATGGATCAATGGCATTATCAGAGTCGCGGTAAATGATCATGGCCGCTGAGCTGGAAGCAATGGGATCGTCGTTGCGTCGAGTGAGCCGGAAATTGGTATTTGTTCTAATGTGGTATATATCCGAATCGACCATGAAGGCACCTTCAAAAACAAGTTGTGTACTATTTTCACGTGAATAAACAACCTCATCGTGGCAGCAAACAATGGAATAAACTCACTCATCGTACTCATGCAAGATGATCCGTGCCCAGCTATTCTGTTCCTGAGATGTGACATGACCCCTGAATATCCTAAATTCGCTTGGTTCAAGAGTCTCCTCGATATCATCGTCGTTGTCGTTGTCGTTAAAGATGCGTATTGTGGCATTGGTATGAAATAAATCCAGGTTGGGTGCGAGGTGTAAGGTGAAAAGCGTATCAAATGCAGTAAATTGTAAAGTCAATGAATCGGTATGCTGTACAAGGGAGGATCGTTTGTCGTTGTTACTGCTGCTCGGCGTGAGTATGGATAGCTTCGGATCGATGACTGATTCTATTCTTGATATGCGTTGTGGTAATAGAGAAGAACCTGTTCCAAGAGGTATTGGTTAATGGGGGACTCGAGTTGTAGTAGTGAATGGCTGAACAATGCCTCACCATGAACACATGCGAAGAGCTGGATCAACAGGAACACTGCCAGCAATAAATAAAAGGCCATGTTTTACAAAGAGGTCAATGAGGATTGCGTATACAGGATGGCATGCCCAACTTGATGTCAAAGATGCTTGCAATGTGGCCAGGTTACTGGTTCATGAAAGAAGAACAAAATGTGCGTGTTACACCAACCCCGTTCAACCTAAATCAAGAGCTGTCCTTGGCTGCTTGATTCCATTAAAGCGGAGGTGGTCTCATTGTCTGTTACTGAAAATGATATTGTTTATTGCTATGGATAACGAGCATACCTCTATAGCCACTGTTAAATAATGAGCCTTTGGTGAACGACTTTCGTTGCATGGGAGGATTGGATGGTTGCTGCTATTGTGGGATGCAAAGCACATGCTAAATGATCAAAGTACTCCTTATTGTTTTACGGTGTCCATAGAAACATTTGGGCGGTCTATAAATGGGACATCCTGGAAATCAGAGTAGTAATGGATCATCGAATGATACGTTTATGAAAAACATGAAACGGGCAATGGCAATAGGCATCAACACGTTAGCAGAAATGATTTTGCAGAAATGTCGGCTTGTGGATCACCATAGGCGATGCACTAAAAATATGCCATACACGTGAGCTTCTAAGAAGGAATGAGGAGGCACTCTGTTGGTACAGCATGATGGGTCTTAGACCCAGCATAGAGGAATGAGCAACGGTTGCTATGGCACCGTAAGCAAGTAATAGGAGCAACTCGGGTCAAAAGGAAGGCGATGCAAATGTATGCCATGTACCCTGAAAGACCGCGGATGATATATACAACGTATCCCAATTATGCGCGATGGTGACGATAATGAATCACTACTACAAATTGTCGTCGACACGATATGACAAATGGTGATTGGATTATGTATATGACGACATCCTCCCACCCCCTCAAGTCATACATGCAAATAGGAACGCGTAAAGAATCATCTCGTCATTCTATCGGAATCCAGTTATCCGATGTACGCCAAGCAATTTTCTGCTGAATTGAAAATTAAGCCTTTGTATAGCCGTATTCTAATCACTTTGCATTTGCAACAGCAGCAAGCAACATCTGAACCCCTCCCTTTCTTCTCTACTAGATCTAAACGTTCAAGATAATAAATGAGGCATGGCTACCACTAATGCAAGTAACATCGTTGAATGTACAGTATACGCCCTTATAAACTTGGATGACAGCTTGCTTGTTTAAAGAAGAGACGGCATTGCTTCATTGTATTAAAGCGACAAAGCTAGCGTGGATATGAGAAGGTTCCATCATCGAAAGAAGCAAGTGTTACACAAAGGGACAACAGCAGTAGGTATACATCAATTAAGGAAAATTTATTTTAGTTGGGGTAAGGCAATTGGTGTGAAGGTCAAAAGGGACGTGCACACACAAGTGCATTTGTAATTCAGCACACACACATATCATTAAAAGGCATTAGACACGACAAGAGCCATTGAAGCCATTGCACCGGTCGCCAAGAGGATGGCAGATTGCTTGGAGGCACTTGATTCATCCTTGGGGTTGGAAGCGGATGAAGACTTGGAGCTACCTGAAGAGCCTGTAGCAGATGCACTAGCAGAAGAAGAGGAAGAAGCGACAGCAGCATTCATTGTGATGGGAATCGTGGTGTTCACGTTGGTGTTGGTAGACTCAAAGACGACCTACATAGGAGTTGTTATTAACATTCATCATGTGAAAACACGCGTTGTTGCTGTTCTATGAGCATTACTTACATTATAGGAACCAGCGGGTGTGGTCGAAGGAATGGCATAGTTGATGCTATGCTCATAAAAAGTAACACCGTTATCGGTTTGTGGAGAGGACTTGGAAACATCAGCTGCTGCTGCAATGGTTTGGGTAGTAAAATTGGCCACAGAGGTAGAGGTCAAGTAGATGGAGAGACCCAGGCTGTCTAATAATAGCGATTCGTTAGACTTTTTTGAAAGATCACACACACACACGCACACACAATCCTTTTTTTGTTGCCTTACCAAGAGATGATTCACCCAAACGATAGGTCACTGGCAAGATTTGACCTGCAACAAAGATACCATGGTCGGAGGGAGAGGTGATGTTGTATTGACCATCTTGAGATACAATGTCGGCTGAAACAACGGATGCAGCACAGGCCAAAGCTGCCAAAGCAGTAGCAAAGATGGAACGCATGGCAATTGATTTGATAAGGAAAAAAGGGGAGAGAGAGAAAGAGAGAGAAAAAGAAACACGAAAACAGCAATTCAAAGTGGTTTCATTTTATGTTTTCCCTTTCACTTGGGTTGCACAAGTATAATATCTCTTTGCACACCTCTTGTCCTACTTTACGCAACTCCGCACGACGGCGTATTGCTTGGATGAAAGGGGGGTGGTGGTGGACAATGAATGCCAAGGAAGCGGGAGAGTGAGAATGGAATCAGGGTCAATGACAGCTAATTGCATATGGCTGCTGCTTGGCTGTTTCATTGCTGCATCATCTCCTGGTGGCACAAAGCTTGGAAAACACGCTATTACACATATGGGTGGACTGTCAATGGCACCATATCCTGTCATACACACATACACACAGGCACCACAACACGAGAACAACTACTACTTCACTCCGAACAAGTCATCTTGCGGGGAGAGTTTGTGTCGGTGTATGGTTGCATAGAAATAAGGCACATGATCTGATACCTGAACAACATTACTTACGTGTCCACACATGACACGCTTCTAATTCAAATCTCTCCAAACCATTGAAAATGAGTTTACTTGGCCTAAGTAGTTGGGCAAAGAAGAAGATGAATAACAACCAAACGTGATGATGATGATATTTCAAATGCATCCTGTATTATGCAAGATGTAGCACCGCTGTCCAATCCCAATAAGCATTTGGTTTATGTATAATGTTATTATAAAGATGACTTGAAGCTATGTGCATGTATCAGGGTTGACAGGAACCATCGTTGCTCAGCAGCCAGCAAGTGCTACTCAGAGGCCGATCCAATCAAATTCTAACAAGTTGCCTCATTTCGGCATGTAAAGAGAGACCAAGTGATCCTTTTTGCTTTGTCCTTTCTTTTCTACCTCTACACATACACACATACCGTTCTCTCTTTTCTCTCTTTTATATACACACATAAAAGCGTTATGCCCAACCGGATAATAACGTTATTATGCTTGGCGGTGGCGTTGATGCTCGCTTTTGTTAGCTCAGGGGCTCGCGCTGCTGTCATGTCGATCGATTACGGCACCGAATGGTTCAAAGTGGGCCTCATCAAACCAGGGATTCCTCTCGATGTCGCACTGAACAAGGACTCCAAACGCAAAACACAAGCCATGGTCACCTTGCGTGAAGATCAGCGTGTCTATGGATCAGATTCGCTTGCTTTGGTAAATGACGCGCGTTGACAGGTTCCACGTTCTTCCACGTTGACACATATACATACATGCATAGGCCGGTCGTTTCCCACAATCGACTTTTCCCAACCTCAAGAACCTTATTGGCAAACCCTATGACGACAAGCATTGTGTCGAATATCGCAACCGTTTCGTCAACAATATGATCTCCAATCCTGATCGCGGCACACCCCTCTTTCACTTGGATGATAAGACCGACCTTACAGTGGAAGAGTTGATTGCATATCAATTCCAAAATGCTCGTGAACAAGCGAGGAATACGGCCGGTGAGGATGTCAAGGATGTGGTCATTACGGTATGTAGTTGAGAGAAGGGAGGATACTTTGAGAGAGGGGAACATGGTTGGCTCATGTTGTTGTTGCTAGGTTACTCCTTTTGCCACGCAATATGAACGACAAGCGATTTTGGATGCTGCTGAGTTGGCTGGATTGAATGTCTTGTCTTTGATCCATGATGAAACAGCAGGTATGCATGCACACATAGTGTGACATGAGAAGGAGGGGGATACAGGATCTAATCCATCATTTTATATGTTAGTGGCTCTCAATTATGCCGTGAGTCGTGAATTCTCCAACACGCCTGAATATCACATCTTTTATGATATGGGTGCAGGATCCACTGTTGCATCGTTGGTGTCATTTTCCAATGTCAAGGAGGGTAAATCAAAAAAGACGGTGCCCCAATTGGAAGTCAAGGCTGTGGGTTTTGATCGCACCTTGGGTGGCCACGAATTCGACGTGCGTTTGCGTGATCTGCTGGCAGACAAATTTATGCAACAACACAAGCCAACTTCCGATATCCGACAATCCAATACTGCCATGGCACGTCTCCTCAAGGAAGCTACTCGTGTCAAGCAAATCTTGAGTGCTAATCAGGAAACCAGCGCTTCTGTAAGGAAATTGTTTCACGGGAGGGAGGGACATGATCATGCGATTAACAAGGGGAGGGAAATCATCGTAGGTTGAGAGCTTGTTTGAAGACATTGATTTCAAGGTTAAGGTCACTCGCGCCGAACTTGAAAACTTGTGTGCCGACTTGCTTGATCGTGTTCAAGGTCCAATTCAGGCTGCATTGGAAGCCGCTGGTATGAAAGTGGTATGTTAAGATCCTTGTTGTATACATGACAACCATTAACTTCTACATATGGTGCTATAGGATAATATCAAGTCTCTTGTGTTGGTGGGTGGTAGCGTACGCATCCCAGCTGTCCAAAGACATTTATCACAAACCGTTGGAGCGTAGGTTTATCCCCGATCAAACCAAAATATGTATACTGATATGTTATCATTGCTAGTGACAAGATTGCAAAGAACGTCAATGGCGATGAAGCTGCAGTGTTGGGTAAGTTGTATCGTTTGCAAAAGGAAGACATCATGTGAATAACACAAACAACCAGGTGCTGCATTCCGTGGTGCTTCTTTGAGCAACCAATTCCGCTTGACCAAGCAAATCAAAATCAAAGATATCACCGTGTATCCCATTGAAGTTACTTATCAACCTGAAGGACCACAAGGTTAGTTTGCAAAACACATTCGTCATCACACAAGCACAATTCTTAATCATTTGCCTGCCACAGATCGTAAGCCTATCCATACCGTCCTCTTCAATGAATTTGGCACTATTGGCACACGCAAGATCATGACTTTTAAGCGCGAGAGCGATTTCGATTTTGATCTCATCTATGGCAAGAGTGTGGAACAGCAGGATGCGTAAGTTAGGAAAAATGTGGATGTTTTGTTGTACCGTACTCATATGGTATGCTGCGCTTTTAGTGATCTTGGAATGAACCAGATCGCCAAGGTCAAGGTCACCGGACTTACTGAAGCACTTGAAAAGTACCAAGAGGACATTAAGGCTTCCGAACAACCACCCAAGGTGAAGGTTGCTATTGATTTGACCAACTCTGGTTTGGTGTCTGTTGCCGAAGCCAGTGTTAGTATCCAAGTCAAGGATCCTTCCTCTAGCACCTTCTCAGGTAAATGTCATTCCCAAGTACCGTATGCTCCATTTTGCTGATACCATGGTTAGACAAGGTCAAATCTTTCTTTGGATCCAAGGATGAAGAATCATCTAACGAGGATGACAAGGAGGTATGTATTTATTGTACCCATTGTTAACGTGTATAGCTAATCGTTTATTGTAGGCTCCTGCTCAAGACCAAAACAAGACCGAACCTGAAAATCAAGATGACAAAAAGGCAGAGGATGCCAAGGACAAGGAACCAACAATGAAAAAGATTACTCTTCAAGTCCAAGTCATCCCTACAGGTCCTCCTCCAATGACCCAACAAGAGAAGATGGTGGCACAAAATCGGTATGTCATTGTGTGTGAGAATGGGGATGATGTAGTAGATATCTAACCATGCTGTGTAGTATTCGTGAGCTTGATGCTTTGGATGAGAAGCGACGTCTTTGGGAAGAATCTCGTAACAACCTTGAATCATTCGTGTATCGTGTGCAGGATTTCCTTTACGACGACATTGTTTCTATCATTTCCACCGAGGAGCAACAAGAGACTTTGCGTGAACAACTTTCGGAAACATCGGATTGGTTGTATGATGAAGGTGAATCTGCTGATACAGCTGTGTACCTTGAACGCTTGCGTAAACTCCAGTAAGTAGTAGAAAACGTGCTCATGAAGAAGGATGACGACTTAGAAAGTAATTCTCCATAGACAACTTGAGCGTCCTATTACTTTCCGCCGACAAGAATTCATCCAACGCAGTGACAACATTGACAAGATCACTTCCAGTGTTGAGTTGGCTCGTGCCTTTGTTGATGGCATTCGTAGCAAGACTGAGGAGGAGGAACGCTACCACACGGATGAAGAGCTTGACAGCTTATTGGAGCACACGGATCGTCTTGAAAAGTGGAAGAATGACAAGGTCACTGCTCAAGAGCAATTGCCAAATCATGTGGAGCCCGTGTTCACCACTGCTGAGACACGTCGAAGATGCCAAGAGCTTGATGATGCTTTAATGAAACTCATGCGCAAAAAGAAACCCAAAGCCAAGAAGCAACAACAACAACCTCCCAAGAATGAAACCTCCCAAGAGGATGAACCCACCACCCATCAAGAAAATGAAAAGGACGACTCCACGGATGAGAAGCCTTCAAGCAACAATGATGAAAAGCAAGAAGAGCAACGTGATCATGACGAACTTTAGATTGTCCCTTTTATATATTATCACATGTATACTTTCATGAACTATAAAAAAAGTACATTTCACATTCATTTTGTCATACGTTCTCTATGATCTAATTCAAATTCTAACATGGTGGCTTCTGTAAACGTGCTTGATTGTAAAAATGTATAATGAGGCAGCTCGCCAGAGTGTAACCCCACTTGACCTTCTTGCTTTGTATCGGTCTTTGAAGGGATGCTCTTTTCGGGAATGTCCTAAATGGATCATGCATATTGAGTTGCCCGTTTACAGTGAAATGCATTGCAACATCATCATATACCTTTTGCTTGATATGCGGAGGGTCTTTAGCATTGCCATGTGTCACTGATGACGGTATCAACGTCGTATCGGTTTTGTTCTTTGCTGTAGAAGGTGGTTGTATATTAATCATGTCCCAGGTGATCGTTTGCTCTGATGACGATAAATGATGATGGTAATGATGTTGTTGTTGATGTTGTTGTTCGTGATGATGTTGATGAACGGATGGAGCATTTGCTGGGGTTATCAATGAGGTTGGTGAAATGTGCTTGCCGTAATGTTTGTCCCATGTATCCCACCATAGCTGTAAAAACTCTGTATCCGTGCCAGCTGGTTTGAACAATGAGCCATCAGCAAATCGTTGTGTGTGGTGCCATGGTTTGTCTTTTCCAATGAAATGAATGACTGCAATCTTTTGTTTAAATTCACGGTATGCTGGAAGATAACTATGATCACATTAGCCATTTAGATGATGCATCAATTTCCTTGGTAGGATGCATATTACCTATATACAGCCGATGGAGTGGTATTGTATGTGAATGGAAGCCGATGTTGTGGTGTCTCTGGCCAATGACAAAAGAAAGAATTCAACAACCCCTGATCACCACCTTGCATAATCAAATGTTAGAACGCGCGTGCCCAACAAAGAATCATGTACCCCATCAGTTTTTTTTACCATCAAAGGAGCCCTTATCAGCAGCCATTTGCAGTAAGCCTTGATAAATGCTATCGGATGGTTCAGCCACAAAGACACCCGAGTTGAAACAATCAGGCCAGCCCGTATCAGGTGCAGCTGCAAATGCCGGTCTCGAGAACAAATCATCAATGTTGCGTATAGGAAGTGTATCAGCATCTAAAAAGACCAGCTTGCTGTATTCAGTTAATCCCCATAGCTGGATCTTGGTCAAGGTTGCACCAAGTTCGGGTCGGCCAAGTAACAAAAGATTCTCGAATCGGGTGGTGAACAATTCTTGCACATCCAAAAGTCGCGTATAGCAACGATCCAGTAACAGAGCACGCACATGATTGGATACTTGGTGAGTGACAAGGCATACAAGATCATGAATACTGCCCATATCACGTAGTCGATGAGCAAGTACGAGTGCTCCCGGTGCATAGGTGTCATTAGTTATAAGCGTAATAAAAGCCTTCATTGCAAAGTGAGTTCATAGTTGAAGGGGGGAATGTTATTGAATGGATGTAGGGAAAAGGGGAAAGAGAAAAAGAAAAAGAACAAGGTTATAAAATAGTTGGGAAAAAAGAGGAGGAGAAGAAATGTTATATCCTTCCTAACTTGTTACACGTAATCTTGTCGGTGCGAAATAGGTAAATAACCCCAACATCCTTATCAATGAACCAAGGTGAAGAAAGATTGATTGAAGACAATGTTGTTGTTGCTGCACAGACATGTTGGGATCACGTGTATGCATGTTTCAATGTTCTTTTGTATCATCAACATGCCCCCTCGTATTCGGAGTTGCTTGATTCAGGATAAGGCTGCAGGTTGCAGTGTGTATGTGTGTGTGTGTGTGTGAGAGGAAGTGGGAGACTCATTCATTATCAGCGTCATTTTGCCAGGCTTGTGAAAGCATACTCACTCTTACGTTCTCCTCGCACCACCACCCCTCTCTCTCTCTTTTCCTTCATTCTCAACGTATCCTCCACTGTTCAATGTCATCTCTCATTGAAACAACGAACAAAGAGGACGTTCCTGTATCTGCAGTTCAACCCATCTCTGGTATGATTGTACGTGCTCTACTCTTGTTCCGTTCCTGCTGACACCCAAGGTCCGTCTCTCTCCTTCTCTCTCTCTGCAGGTTGTAACCTCCCCGTTAATACATTATCGAGAACCAGGTCTTATACTGCTTACAACTTGACCGACTTGAATGGCGTCAAGGTTGATACAATGTCCAGGCGTCTACAACGAACATCAGAGCCATCATTGCTACGCCTGGAGGAACCTTCAGCAACGACGACGACGACAACAGCCGAGTGCATAGCAACAACAACAGCAACAGCAACCGAAAGCAGGACAAGTGATAACGAGACCAAAAGTCAAGAGGGGTTAGAGGAATTCATATCGATGCTTGCTGGCAATGGCACAAGGAAGGATCCAAATGATACCATTAATGAAGCTACAGCCAACATTGATCATTTGCTTGCCATCATGAAGAGTCGTCAAATGGGTCGTGGCATGCTTCACCATATACCACCCGAGGAATATCATCCATCCAACAACAATACCGTTTTCAATTTCATGTTTGAATCCAACAAGTCCACCACCAATACCGATGACAATGCAGGTAAGTACAAGGAAAGAAGTGATATTAGTCAGCTATTGAGACACCAACCACATTTTTCAGATAGCAAACCAAGTGCACTATCACCTTCAGACTTTCGATTTTCATTCACATCCAAAGAGTCTTTAGCGACATCGAGCCCTCGCAGCAGCAACATCAATATTCGTCGATACAGAGGAGGAGGAGGGAAGATTACGACACCCAATGTCTTTTATTCTACAGCATACGATGATGATTGTGATGATGAGGAGGAGGAGGACGATGATGATGGACAAAACGAATATGAGAGTGATGATGATGGACATACAAGTGCTCAGCATAGTCGACATTCCGGCAGCATGATTCCTACCCATTCGGATATTTCAAAGTTACCCCAGCATTTGCAACATCGAAAGATCCTTCCTCTCCCAAAACCTCGATGGAAACGCAAAGGATTACAGAAACCCACCACCTCCAATGATAAAGATCAACAGCCATCAGCAAACAATCATACCACATCATCATCATCATCACCACCATTAACACCTTACATTTGGCAATTCTCACCACCTGCTCGCGAGATACAACAAAGATATTCAGAACACGAAGATTGGGGAATGAGCAGGCTATCTTTGGCAGATGATCCAAATTGTCTTTTTCAAGAAGTCTTTACGGGTGACGATTCCAGCTACCGAGACAACGCCAAAAAGATGAAACGAAGTACGGGCAGCGAATTAGCATCATTACCATCAGCAGAATATGATGAAAGAAAGTCGACTCTCAGGAGAAAGGATCGCAAATGGAGGAATAGCAACAACAACCACAGCAACAGTAGTAACAATAGCAACAACGTAGCAACGGATGGTTCACGGACAACACCTGGCATTCAATTACCAGAATCAGCATTTGACTTTGCCATGGATAAAAGAACACGTGATCAGCTGAAAGGATTACCCACGTTGGATGATTTACCTCGACCAAAATCAGTATCTTTGGGATTATCGAATGTACTACGGCAAGCAATGACGCCTGTTGCCCCCTATGTTTCTCCACCATCACCACCACCTCCTCCTCCAGCACCTCCATCATCGTCGACAACAAGAAAATCAACCATTGCATCTCCTCCACCACCTCCACCACCTGCTACACCACATTCATCATCGTCATTAACACAATCCAAACCTGCTGTCACAACACGAACAAAGCGAAATGAATCTATACCTACTGCTACTACCAAGGTGAGTTCATCGAGGAGTTTATTGGCATGTGCCTAACAAATGTGATAGAAAAAAGGAAAAGCAAATGACCATTCCAATGAACCAAGCAAGACCATCGTAGATAAACCGGTGACAGTGTCATCAGCAAATACCAAACGTGGGAAAAAGGGATCCAGGAAGAAAAAGACCAATGACGACGATTCCCATAACAAGAGTAACCAAGCACTTGTATCTGATATTGCATTGATACGAAATCCTGATCCCGATGAATGGATATGTGTCTTTTGCCAATATGAGATCTTGTGTCGTGGATTGGAGGCGGCTCGTCGTAAAGGTGGTTATTATCGTCGACGGCGTGAAAGGCGACGGCGATTGAGAGAAGTGGAAGCACGTCGTGCTGGTGAATGCATCTCTGGAGCAACAAGTGACTTTGAAGACGATCCACCTGTGATTGATGATTTGACACATGGCCCTTCTCTACCACCACCTCCTCCACCCCCTCCATTACCACCCACCACCACACCCACAACAACAACAGCAGATGCGATATCAACCCCTTACAGTACTATTACTACTACCACTACCATCATGGATCATCGTCATCACCATCAACGCAAAGGAAAAGGCAATCGTGTTGCATAGCACTACTTGATCCAACTATATATCCATCAAATCTCTTGTACATTGATTGTAGCATAGTGAAATAACATGTTTCTTTTTTTATATCCTGATCAACAACAACAATAGCTCGTTTGGATTCATGATGGGAGAGAAGAACATGCATGCATGGGGGGACCTTGTATATTGTACATTGAAAATAACTAGAAAGGGTTTGTTTATATACACATCTCATGATCCATTTCGGCTTGTTTGCTTTTCCTGAGGAGCTGTTGTTGTCGTCGTCTCTTGAAGGTGACACCAAAGACAATGCTGATAAATAATGCGCCCGCTAGAATTTCAATCATCCAAATGAGTCGTGCGGTGGTGATATCATCCACGGTGCCAAATAGATCATAATCATCTTCTTCAGGTCTGATGATGGTGGTAGTGTCATTGGCTGATGGTACGGTATAAGGTTTGGATGGCTCCCATTCGGGGATGTAGGGTGGACCATTGAGTACATAATCCCATTTGCCCTTGGGTGAACAAGTATCATCAACGACAAGACGATGATCATCCAGTGAAGGAGGCGGACCATTGTTGCTTCGTGCATTCCACCAAGGGACCATGCCTCGACAAATCGAACACCAGCTATTACGTTGATTATGCAGTGCCGGGTCACTCCAATTACTAATGAAAGAAGGATCCAATCGATCCCTCGGTGCAACGTCAAGCACTTGCGTGCGGAATGATAAATGCTCCAAATAGGCTGTATCGTTCTTGTCAAGGTAATCAATGTAGGCAGCGAGATCACGTGGGTCAGGATAGGCATCCATGCGAATAATGGATCGCTCATTGGGTATAAAGCCATCATACGATTTGGGGCCATCGACAATAGGCACCGTTGAAGCAAGAAAGGTGTCAAAAAGTTTCTCCGTCACTACATATTTTCATTCTCGATTTAGTATCACGATAATGTCTTGGCGCGATAGAATAGAAATCACTTGCCATAATCATCACAGTTGGCATTCTCAATAGCCAAATAAAACTTGTACTCGCTTATCAATTCCATGCGTGTCTTGTCGTCTGGAAAGTCTTGGTTGTTCAAACAAGTGCTGTAACTATCCACCTTAATGTATTTCATCAATTCACCAACATAGTGCTGTCGTCCACTTGAAGCCTGACAATTGCGTGCGATCCACACAATGGGTGCCTTTGTCGTCTTGGTATCCATAAAGTTGCTAGGAAGTGGGCGATTGGCAATGTCCATAATAGCTGGCGAGTAATACGAAAACAAGAACGAGCTTTTGAGGTGATAAGAGGCGAGATAGGTGAATGGCTCCATACGATGTTCATCAGCTCGAAAGGGTGCTGTGAGTGGCGATTCTTGTGTTTGAAGGATCCATGGCTGATTCTCGATGCCTACAAACACCACCACCATCATCATAAGCCATTTGTTTCCTAGGCAACCCGTTGACAGGCACACAGCACTTACGATCAGGTACCGTGGATGGATAATAATCGGCAGCATGGAATACTACACCAGCAGCATCGCCAACATCCTCCAGGGACGGCGTGATCGTGCACCATGGTTCGCCGGTTATATTATAGCCTTTTGGTATAGGACACTCTCGTTCATTTAAGCCGAGATCTTGGCCTATTATACAATGGCGATGAGCATTTGCTTTTCAAAGAGAATGAGAGAGGGGGATTCCATTACCGTCAAACATGAGCCCATTGAACCAACGTGTCCAATACACAACACGCAAGGGTGATAGTGAGTTGCTGGACATCTAAAAGAGTAGAATAAAAAGCTGTGGTGGATATTTGATTGACGAATAATGATGAGAGGAAGGCAAGTAGCAAAGCTCCAAGCTAAACTAAATTCCCCAATTTGGCTCTGCGTTGTACAAACACTTGCATACGATCGCTACTCTTTACTGCTCCGACAATGAAAAGGTTCCTGATCATCTTGGCCTAGACATTTGGCCATGCTTGTCGACATTGGCCACATTTAACAATCCATTCCATCTTTCCTGATTTCCTGATGATATCATTCAAATGGAAGAAGAAATCCCGGGTACTGATCGTCGCATACAATCTCGCAATACATGGATCAACACGTGCATATGCGTGGCTTAGTACTAAATAGTGTTAAATTAAGTGCTATGCAACAAGCATCATCCCTCTTGGCTTTTGGTGCCATGTATTAAAAACATCGTCGTACCCATGTTGAGATTCAAGTTCCTGGGATACTAAACCTGATATGTATATTCATTGTGGTGCACATACTCGCATTCAGATCCCCGACAAATGTCAACAACATGAACTCTAATTGAGCATGAATAAATAATGAAGCCTATTGGCGCATTGTTGCATAAAGGTATACGTAAATCAAATGGCTTTATGGACCTTTCAACTCAAGATATGGCCGGTGATAATATGCATACAGCTATGTGACCTCGGAGTAGAAAAACATGATGCAGCATCACCAGTTACTGCGTTTCCCCTTGTTGCTACATACGAGCAAAACCCCCTTACTACAATAAAAGCATCCAACCAATTATACGGGATCCATTTCCTTTTTAATCTATTACATCTACATGAATGGTACATTACGTATACCAATCATCCTTCACCTCTTTACAAATAGTAGAAGCATACAAGGAGAACAGTGAGCAACACAATTGAGCAACCATTAACTGCTAGGATGCATGCTAAGCGGTTCAGGAAGCGTTTTGTGTTTCTCCAAGTTGCATTGATACGGCAAAGGTTCCTGGATTCCTATATCCATGACCATCCACATCTTCAGACCAATAGCCGTCCCTAGGCCCTATGTATGGTTCGGCCTTTGAGATACCCCAAAAATGAGAGATCATGTAAGTACATGCGTAATTGAATATGATTTGACCATCTTGCAAAGAGACTCGTACTTATGAAGGTATTACACATTGTATGGTAGTAAGCTTTAATTGACAACGAGCAAAACATGTACATACAAGGAGAGTATAAGAAAGGTTGCTATGTTATATATAGTGCTTGGATCCATGCAAATGATCACCTTGCTATGACTTGGAAAGCCAACCAAACAAACACGTGCGCATCATAAAAAACAAAGACACAGACATAGCATCGCCATTTGCCCATGACCTACGTCCCATTGATTCCTCTGTCCACATACTGTAGAACGATCAAGTGTTACATACATTGGAAACGTGTTTTAAACATGTAAAGGCAAAGAGATCTGCTTTAAAAAGTATAACAATTTATTAAATGTAATGGTATTGCTGATCCACGTCTTTGCTGGTCCACATCCTTGCTGATCCACATCCTTGCTGATCCACATCCTTTCTAATCCTCATATCCACATATCCACACTAGAAGCATGATGCATTAGCCATCATTCATGTTTCAATAGAAACCATACTATCATACTTACGATCCACAACCATCTTGTACACCACGTTTCTTGAGGAGCTGACAGAGTTTCAAGCGAATGACAGCACCCACCGGTTGAATACCCAAAGTTTCCTTTACGGCAACAAGTAGCACGTACATACGTTAGACTACCCCGATCAACTGGCCAGTGAGCACCATCATTCCACAAGAAGCCTCAGCAGCATAGCCATCCTTGAAGTACGGTCTTGGTCCTTGATTAATCCACACATTCTAAACACACATTAGTGATTCATATGCTTGTAAAAGTATACCATCATCAGCCTCTTGTCCACGGCCTTATTCCAAGTGCTACAAGGACATACTTGTAATATGAGCAATGGCAGTCGAATAAAGTGGAACTCATTTATACCTGCTTCCAACGATATCACCACGCTGTTTGCTGATCCATATGCACCACGTAAAAGGGCCTGGGGGTTTGACGGCAACGAAAAGAAGCCAAGTGAGCTCGATCAACCCAAACAGATCGATTGGAACCCCCCATCCACCTTAGCTCAACCAGCATTAGCCATTGCCCAATAAAAGGTTGTCTAAATAGAACAACGTTACGTGTCAGTTTGGTCTTCTTCCTTAACAGTGAACTGGGCTTACCTTTGTTGTACGAGAAAGACTCGAAACACGCGCCGAATGAAATGCGTTGTTGCAAGTAAAGAGCTACCCACGTCTGGTAATGTGAAGTGTTGCATTAGTAGCTAGCGAACTACTAAACACTGCTGTAGAAGCGTTTAACAAGTACCTTTGGAAGGATGGCGTTCACCATTGCAGCTGCTGTGTTCGTGTGGAAGGTGTAATGTAAAGGAACGCGTGCAGTAGTTGCCCTCGTTATTTGTTGCCCAGCAGCAGCGGAGCAACCGTTCCCAAGTGGAAAACCCCCACTGCTATTATACTGAGGCCACTCAATTAACCCCCCCCCCAACACACACACCATCAACCCAAACACACATAACTCACCCATCATCATCATCATCATCATCATCATCATCATCATCATCATCATCATCATCATCATCATCATCACAATAAACAATGGATACACGTAAATAAAAGAAATGATCCTCACGCACAGCAAAAGGGTGTGTGTCATTTTACACTTTACATGATAATGATAATCCAACAACAGCCAATGCCTTACTACCATGTCAGCTCGAATCAAGAAAGTTCAATGACGGGAATGATGGGCTGGAGAAGGACAATCGTTCGTATGCATTGGATTGGACAACAAAGGTGAATGGGAGGAATGGGCTATCAAGTGGCAGTTTACAAATAACTTACCAATTTGATTCTTCTGATATTGGATGATGTTTCTGTGTTTGAGCGTTTTTCAGTCAAATCTCATCGGATCAAGAAAGTTGAATGATGGGCATGCTGGGCTGGAGCAGGACAATCGTTCGTATGCATTGGATTGGACAACAATGGAGAATGGGAGGACTAAGGTTATTAGCTGGCATTTTGAACTATTCCTAAATAGTGTACAAGAATCATGCATCGCCTGTGGTGAATGACTCAAGTTACACAAACACGCCCTCTGCATCTTTTGCTCTATTATAGTCATACTACTTTACATTAACAATGAGAGATGGCTCTTTCCGATAAAGGTCAAAAATCGCAAGGGTCAAAAGGACCCCCTGATAAACCTCGCACATACACCTCACTTTTTCACGATAATGAAGTGGTAACCCTTTATCAACATGAAAAGACCAACACTCGGCAAATATGGCGACGTGCAGAACACCCCCATTCACTTCTTTTTGACTTATCTCGTACAGCAATAAGCGATGAACAATTTCGACTAGCACTCTATGAATCACCTCTCAAGGATGCTGCTCATGGCGCCATCATCCACAGATCCCGGAAGCACACCACTGCAGAAGTTACATTTGATGATCAAGAAACTGTTGACAAACTCAAGCATGAACCCATCACCATGAAAGATGGTACGCAGCTGTTTGGATCCCTTCCTATTCCTGAAGAATGGGAGGTAGTCAAGGTCAATCTCACGCACATCCCACTTTACAACCGTACAACTCTAACGCAAGCCCTCATTGACGCTTTGAAACCTTTCGGCAATATCCTTGAGCTTGGCATTTATCTTGAACAACACTACTTCACCGGCAAAGGCTTTGTATATCTCAACACTAACCCCAAGAACTACACCCTGTCAAAAACTTTTCATGTACAACCTCAGCAATTATCTCATTCAATCCCAGTCTCCCGAAAAGATGGAACCTATCCCACTCGCGTGCATGCCACGTGGTCGAAAATGCCACTGCATTGCCGTTATTGCCATGAACCTGGACACACACGTCTACAATGCCCTTATCGACCAAAACCACGTTGTTATTATTGTCAAGAAACAGGACATTTACGTAAAGACTGTCATATTCGCAATGGTGTTAAATCTGCTCCCGCTCCCATTGATACGCAAGCGCCTACTACAATCGCTGCCGTTACTCCGACTTCCCGCAACTCCAACTCAAGTCCATCTAAACGTAAACGATCGCCGACATCACCACCCCAACAATCCTCGTTCAATTTCACTCCACCTGCCAAACTTACTACTGATAACCCTTTGCCCAATGATAAACCGCATGATCCAGTTACAGACCTCAATACTACCCCTCCTTCCCTTGAGAGTAAACCCACCAGCATCAATACGACTCCTCCTCCCCTAGATAGCAAACCCACCAGCATGGACACATCACCACCATCATCATCCAGTGACCCTCCCGTTGATGCTATGGAAACCTAGTTTTGGGTTTTCTAACCCAACCTTGCCTTGTCTTCCTCCCTCCTCTCTCCCTCTTGTTTGGTCTTCGTGACCCATCTTTAGTTATTTATACTTTGTTTCTTCTCACTCCCGGTTTTCAGACCCAACATTCTTGGTAGTGGCCTTAGCAGCCCACTACTTAATAAACCATTATCAATACAAAAAAAAAATACTACTTTACATTAAACAAAGAACCACTTCTTATATAGCATCACGCTTACAAACATAAAGGTGCCTGTATCTCCAACTTTACAATCAAACGTGGGCTCTTTAATAGATCAACGTGCTTGTCGGGGTCAAAGGGAATCTTGTGTCAAGTATGAAGTTCATCGTGGGCGATCCCAGATTTTACCAATGTCGCCACCAGCCAAACTGGATCTGGGGGTCGACACTCTTCGACGACGACGACCGAAAAAATATTTTTTGGGCTAGTTGCGACATTGAACGTGAAACTTTCACACAAGGTGCTGTTGGCCAAGCCGAGCACATTGCTCTAATAAAAACCCCACGTTTCATTGTAAAGTTTGGAGATACAGGCACCTTTATGTTTGTAAGCATGATGCCTATATGGGTGGTCTTTGTTCATTGTCAAGTAGATTGGACCCTGGCAGAGCAAAAGATGCAGAGGGTCGTGTTGTGTAACACAGCTACGTTTGCATGAATGAAAGGGTCAATGTATAATTACTTTATGGATCATCTAGGAACAGGCATGTATTGCTAGCTAACGACCACTTTTATCCAATCATCATTGTTTGCGAGATCCACTGCATGGAACAATCTCCCTGCTCTAGACATTCATTCCGCATGATTAAAGTAGGTTGATCCGAGCTGATTTTGGCTGAGCTGCGGTCAAGAGATTACACATCCTCTGGACATAAAGCACGCTCGATGTGGCCTCAACCGATGTAACCTTGTGTGAGCGTAACTCAACCAAATCAGCTCGGATCAAGCTACTTGAATCATGGAAACTAATGTCTGGAGCAGGAGAATCTCGTCCACCTACCAATGGAATGCACAAAGTTGTGAATGCAAAAGTGGCTATTAGCTGCCAATGTATGACCTGAAAATGAGGGTTGCGTACCTGTCATGCATGGTCCCTGAAGTCCAAACTTTTAACCCAGTTACACAAACACATCCCTCTGCATCTTTTGCTCTGCCAGGGTCCACCTACTTGACAATGAACAAAGACCACTCTTCCATTTCATATAGCATCACGCTTACAAACATAAAGGTGCCTGTATCTCCAAACTTTACAATGAAACGTGGGGTTTTTTATTAGAGGCAATGTGCTCGGCTTGTACTCACCTTGTGTGAAAGTTTCACGTTCAATGTCGCAACTAGCCCAAAAAATATTTTTTCGGTCATGCGTCGTCAGAGGTCCGACCCCCAAGATCCAGTTTGGCTGGTGGCGACATTGCGGAATCTGGGATTGGCAAAGGCTTGATCGTGAAACTTGCACACAAGGTGCTGTTGGCCAAGCCGAGCACATTGCTCTATCAAAGACCCCATGTTTCATTGTAAAGCTTAGAGATACAAGTGCCTTTATGTTTTGCATATGCTGTAAGCTGAGTTGCTTTCTCCTAGTGGATGGTGTA